TCTAAATTCAAACTGCTTTCATGTAGCATGATCCAGATAAAAAAATGTTTAAAAAGCATACATAAAAACACTATAAAACCAAATATTGCACTAAAAAGCAGTGAGAATTAAATATGGAAATATAGAAACACAACATGGCCAACAGACCTGCTGGCGCTTTGCAGTTGCATCAAACTGGTCACATCACAAGGAGCTTGTAGCCAACAGAGGAAGGAAAACTCACCCCTGGGAGAGACTGTGAGTGTGTGTGGTTGTTGCTCTCTGTGTGGCCCTGTGATGGACTGATGACCTGTTGATGACCTGTTTTGCCTTGTCCAGTTCCAACTGAACTGTTTAGTTAAGAGTAGAACATGGTAAACAATTGATCGGTTTGAACTTGATCTTTCCACCACCTGTAACGATCTTGAAAAATACCCACTGCAGCGTATGTTGCATATAACTTGAAAATGCAATGCTTAGATAATATTCTTCCATCGTCTTATCTTAAAATAAATGAGCCTCTGGATTATTGCGTTTTGGGATTATTCTCCCCTGTATAAAGAATCAGTAGTTTAAAAAGTTCATCACAGAGGAATTGAAATAACTTTTTCCTGGATGTTTCTGCAGCTGTCTTCCTGTGCTGCCCTCTGGTGGCCGGATTTGGCTCCACGCCCACCACAAGCAAAAACAACTCATTTATCTTAATATGCTGTTATTGCCAAGGTCTCCACACCTTCCAGAGAGGTTTTTTTTTATCCACATTCGCTAAAATGATAATGCAGAAGGCTGGATTACAAACAAGGTCAGAAACGCAATTAGCAGCGTATTTGCACTCAAGCTCAAGCACAGGTCACAACATACTTTTTTATTATTCTGCAAATGAACTGGAACCTCCATTAGCTCCACACAGGGAAATTCAAATGTATTGTTTTTAAGGCAAGAGCTCATTTTGGAGAGTGGGACTCCTGTGAGTAATTTATTATTGGAAAAGTGAGTACGGGCGTGCTTGATTTTGCCTATTTGTTTTGACCACATAACCCTACTTTTGCCCAGTTAGAGCTGGGTCAAACCCAACCCCCAAAACTCTGGATTTCATCAAGCAGGTATAGCAAACAGATGGATGGGTTCTTATAGACTTGCTTTGGGCACGGTTTCAGTTTTGCAGGCACGTACTGACGCCCTGCTAATTTAATAGTCTCTTTTTATTGCAGGGCTCATTAGTTCCAAGGATGTTTAATGTCATGTGAATTACCCACAAACAGCTGTGCAGGTTGGTATCCCCACAAGTACTTGCAGTGGAATATTAGCTCTCTTCTAAATGACCAGAGAAGAGTAGGAACAGGTGCCAACTCTAACATTTGTTCACGCGAAAAGTCTTCTTCACAGAGCCAAACTAAATCTGACAAAGTCAAGATAACTTGAGAACTGTTACTCTCAAAGGCATTGTTTATACAATTAAGAACTAAATCAAAGCTGAGTTAGCACATTTTCAGGGCGGTGGTGAAGGACATTTCTCAGTGGCTTCTACTGAGAAGCCACTCAATCTAAGGCTTTTGTAGACATTATTTCTATTTTCTATAAGAATACATTTTAGGGAAAAAAACTATCTAGCTGACTTGTATATTTGAGTGATTTGTTTGAAAGTCTCTTAAATATCCTGCTTCATCTCTGATATGACTATGTACCTGTACCAGGTGGAACCTTTGATTGTCTACAGGTAAACTTAGCACTGTTCTAAAACTTTGTTGACTCCCAATTGGTTAAGTCATTTGATCTCTCTATAAAACTAACTGCGATAATTTGGCGATTTATAAAAGATGCATTACATAATCATAATCAAGTCAACTCTATGCTTATATTTGGAATAAAGGTATAAGGTTATGGTATTTATGGTATATTTTATCAATACTTATTTCCTTATTATTATTCTTTTTCATCTGATAAAGGTACATGAAGTTAAAATGAGTGAGGCACAGCACAGTGGTTGCAAGGTTTTTAAGTTAATAATGTTTTTTAAAAGGTATAACCCTTTGGTTTTGTTTTATATATGCACGATCAGTGACTTACACGATTACTGTGTTAAGGTTTATATTATAGAGGTGCAAGAGAACAAAAGAATCACTGGACTGAGCATCTTTGTGATACTAATGGATCGCCTGCTCTTTGTTGCTTTTCAGTTGATCCAGTTATCTTTTTATGTAATACTTTACAGCCTAACAAGGCACTCAAATGTCTTGGTCTTCTTCTGTTTTTCAGACCGATGGCAGAAATCCATGTTCTGTCTGATAGTGGTACAGTATCATAACCCACCATTAGAGAAGAAATAAATAAAGGTTGCAAATACCAGAGAAATATCACTGATCTAAGCAAGGGTTCTTAAAACATACTTAAAACAGGGGAATGGATTTTCCAGTGAGTCGAGGTTTTATAGAGTAGAAACATAAAGGCGACTTCACAGAATCATTTTGAACTTGGCTACCACCAGCTGGCTGACTGCTACATTACTTCAGCGTTGCTTTTTTCCCTGTGTGGCGTTGTAACAATCTGAGCCGATTCAATTAGTAACTCTCACCAGGACTGGTGGGAGACTATCTGCCTCTGTGGTTTCTACCAAATAACTTTGATAGCCACTGTTATTTCAGCTTTTTTTTTTAAGATAAAATGAAATAAACTAAAAAGATTTTTCAAAGCTGAAACAATCGGTTGATTAACTGAAACAAAAAGAGTCACTGGATGGTACTTGGATCATTTGCTGCCATTGTTTTCAGGTTCAAACCTTGCAACTCGAATCCGTCAATGACAGTCGGCTTTTGATAAACAATAGGATTGTTTTTTAGGGATGATTGGAGGGACATAATTCAATAAAAAAGAGATGAGACATAGCAATCAGCACAGACATTCATTGGTAGCTACGGTCTCATGGGATTCACTGGGTTCACATCACAGGGTACCGAGACACAATATCAAACACAGGACTTTGCCGGGCTCAGTTACTTTGATCATTTTAGCGTTTTTTCTGTCTAAAAGTTAAAATATTATGGCATTCCAAATTTTCCGTTATGGCTAAATGCTGCATGTGTATAAACACTACTGCAACGGGAACAGGAATGGCGCACAACCTCAGAGCAAATGCAGAAATTTACACAAAGGTCCAATGACAAAATCATCAAAATGACATACGAGAAAAAAGCATCCAGCCTATCTTCCCCAAACTCCTGCACTTTGAGAAATTTCTTAATTATAGTAAAGTTGAGGTCTGCTCATATATATTTAAACAACAGCCTGATAAATTTGATTTTGGGACAGCTGCTGACTAGGCAATGCTTAAAGCCAAGCTAAGCATTGAACAACCTACCTGGGCTTTTTGTCTAATTCTTCTATCATTTTGCCAACTTGTGAAGAAGAGGAAAAAAAATTACATATGTATTTTTTTATTTACATTTTTGGGGATTTGATCCTCACAACTACCACCACAACATACAAGCCTCCACCAGAACTTAATTTGCTTATACCACCTATCTGGATCCAGGTTTTAGTGCCAGTTTCCTCAAGATGAATAAAATCCATTGACACTGTTTTTCTGGTGTGTTTTGGTTGGGTGAACACAAGGAACCGTGACTCACCTTTGGAGGATGTGGAAGTTTTGGAGTTTCATATGTTATTGTGTTATTCTAACTATTATATTCTTGTTTACCTGTTTACTCTTCCTACCCTTTTCTGTATAGCTTCTTACCCATTTTCAAAGATGCTGGATTTCAATCTCCGTTTATTAGTTGTCAGGGTTCTGGACACCATCCCTCACAGGATTCCAATCTTCTGGAAACCCTGGACACCTCCCATGGATAAAACTCTGTAAGCTCCAGGATCCTGTGGCTCTAAAACTAGCCTAAACCATCATCCTGTGCTCATGTTACTATGCTTGACAATTGAAATGAGGTGATTGTGCTTATGTGATCAGAAGCAAATACTGAGAAATTAACATACTTTTAAGACCAGATAAGTCCCAGATGTGCTTTTAAATTGTTCTGTAGCACAACATCTGACAATTGAAAGGTGTATCTGTGTGAGACAGACAGGGATTTTTTCCTTTCTTTCATTATAAGTCTAAAAAACAGAATCAAAGAAACAGTATTCACAAGAGAACTTAAAGTCCCCTCGATCTTGTTCGGTTTCTGCTTACAAAGCAAACTCAGGACGCTTCCTGTTACTGTGGGTATGTACCCAATTGTGACAGATTTACATATTTTCAGAGAGGCATTGTGATCTGACTCAGCAGTATTAGCAGGTGCAAGCTGTTTTGCTCTGGGACAGGAAGAACTTAATGAAAGCGAGGTAGTAAACAAAGAAATACTAAAACACAAAGGCCTCTATCTCATATTAAATCAGATTTCTGTCCGGTTGTTTGACACCGATCAGAAAACACTTTCATTCAAGTGAAGTCATCCCCAAATTCTTCATGATGCACTTAGATTCACTGGTTCGGCATCAACACGAGGCATCAGAATACATGGACCATTGATTTACCCGTAAAACTGACAATGTTGCATCTCAATCTGCAGTTGCAAAAAAATACAGTTGGTCCAGTGCACCACCTTGTGGCCGCCTGAGTAGGACTTAGGCTGAGGCTAAATTATGTAACTCCAGTTAAAGATACAGGCTCTTACATAACCCTCCTTGACTGGTTTGTTTTAGCTTGTCAAATAAAAAGAACTGCAGATGGTCTGTAAAATAAGATAAGGCTTTCTGTCCTGGACACTTTAAACTCCTCTGCTAACGTTCCCCGATTAGGTATCAAGTTAAGGTACCCGAAATGGAAATTAAAGCAAAGCAAGCAAGGAGTTTTCTGAAAGATAAACATTCCCCAGATTCTTTATAGGCAGTTACGCTCAGGAGACGGGGCATTTTAAATGTGGCTTTTTCTGCTCTACACCCTCCATTTGGCGGATAACATCTCCTACTTCTTCAGACTGTTTCTGTATAAGGATGAGCTGTCAGAACCCTCAGCTATGTCAAGAAAAATTTCCAGGCATTTATTATGTGAGGCAAATTCAACCCCTGAAATTATTCAAATGAAAAAAAGCGCTGAATGAAGAAGAGCAAAACAATCAGTCTGCACTGGGGGTTCATTGTTAAAGCCCGTTATTCATTGCAAACATTTATTACATTTTTTTTATGATGCAAACAACAGCCAGTCCCATCCTCGTTGGAACAGCTCATCACTTAGTAATGAGGGAATGAAAAAGACACAAAGGGACAGGGACAGAAAAAGTGTATTATGCGCAACTCCATTGTTTCTTTTAAAAAGACAAGACAATCATCTCTCCTTGTAAATTTTGGCATCTTCTTCCCTCCCATTGAGTGATGGTCATTAAAAAAAAAAAGAAAGAAATCAAAAGATCAAGGCATGCATAATAGTTTCTGGTAATGCACATAGATCAAAGGATACCATTTATAAATACAAAATCCATGTACGATGTTCATGTACATTTCATACATATGGTCCCTTAGAGCGGTCGTAGGCCTCTCTGTTCCCACTGTGGGACTGGGTTCTCCATTCTCACTTGGTCACTAAATTCTCCCTGGGAAAAGATCTGAGCTGGAAAACGCACCTGCAGTATGGACTTTCCAATGCTGACAACTACTGGATGTTACTACTCTGTTTATTCCTCCCATCATCTCTTGTGGCGTGTTACGATCTGGCTATGAAATGCAAAGTTTTATTTAATTTAAATAGCTGTCTTTGCATCAACTGATCATTGTGCTATCTACAGAATTTCATCATACCTTGCCAGAGTTACAGCCTATTTAAAAAAAAAAGAAAAGAAAAAAGAAACAACTCCCCCCATTAGTAATACTACCACCCCATGCTTCTGTTTAAAAAGGGAGCCCACTGACTATCTGGATCCACTCAGAGCTACTCTGCCTAAAGGACAGAAGCCTGGAATTAAAGTGTATCATCTGTTGTGAAAGAGATGGATCTCGTATAGAATATACTAAGATTAATGCACTGGTCCGCTCATAGAAATGGGTGAAAAAGCCACATGTACGCATTCTCAATTTACTGAAACCAAGTTTTAAAAAAAACAAAGAAAAGAAACAAAAAGCGGGTCAAACCAAAACACTGATTAAATACAAGGTTGAATTAATTTCTTTACTGTTAAAAAAGTGTACTGCAATGTATACAATTATGCGGCTCACTCTCGTTTACGTAGGATGAGTTGAAGAGGGGGAAGAGGCTTTAAAGATTGCTGATATATCAATGGAATCATGTACAGATTTACAGTTATATGCATCTATCATCACACTCAACGGATGGTGGGAAGGAGGGACAGAGGGCAGCGAATGACAGACACAAAATAGAAAAGATTTACCGGTTTGAATGTGAACACCCTTTACTGTGGAGCCAACGCTATGTTACTCTCTTAAAAAACGAGAGAGATGACAATGCTTACATGTGCGCACAGGTTTGAATTCTGTAAGTGTGGAACCAAATGTTCAACCAATAAAAGTCTATTGGGATCGAGTTGTACTGGTTTCTCTGAAGGTGGAGGCAGACTTGATTAACCGAACATGGGGCTGATTATGATGGTACCGGTGGCGATGGCGGGCGCCTCGGCTGGTGGGATTTGGCGCCTTCTCTCTGATGGTGGTGGTGATGTCGGTGCGCTGTGGGGTCCGGCTCTTTAGTCGATGTACTGGGAGAGCCAGCGGAAACCCTCGCCGTAGCCTTGCCTCTTCAACACGCTGCACATGAAGACCTCCAGTGGTCTCGTGTTCAGCTCCTTCATGGGGATGTTGCCCTGAGAGAAGAGCACGAAAAGATCATATCTAGCCGGAGAAAATATGGAGTTATCTGAGCCTGTGGAAGGCTGCTTCACTGGAATGAAAAACAACATTTAACTCATTGGCTGCCAAAGACGTCTATAGACGTCTTTTATGTTTTTCAACGAGAGTGGCTTGGGGGACGATCTGCTAAAGTTTGTCCGTAAATATCAGGCTTCTAGACAGAGTATGTACTAACAAATTGACCCTCTAGGTGGCAGTGCCACTTTTGATGGGAGATTAGCATAGACTGTAGGCAAATAAAAAAAACGTCACAGTTCGCTATGAGAGAACATGTCGCCGGTGAGACGCAAGTCGAGGAAGAACAGAATAAGGTAGAAACAAAAAAAATTTCCCTATGAAAGAAGAGAGTCTAGTCTTTCTTTTGGTTTGTTCGGTGTTTACATAGTCATAGCACAAACTATTCTGTGGCTCTTGAAAAATCAGTCAAAATGCTCAAAAAACTCTGGCAGTCAATGAGTTAAGAGGCCAGTGTATCATCAAGTTTTATATAGAGTGAAATGTAACAGTTAGAGATGGTGAGATGCAGCAGACTGTGGACTTAACACCGACATACCCTCTGGTTAAATCTTCCCGCCATGGTATTATATTTCCTGTTCTACAGACCCATTAAGAGTGAGACAAAAATGCCCCTAAAAAAGAGTCTGCTACAAGGGGAAAACCTCAAAGGACAATCTTAACCTCAAAAATATATTGTGCAGCTCATGCTGTGTTATGACAACATAAATTAACTATTCTTTATTATTGGGATGGAAGTGGTAATGATCCTCCTCTACTTTAACTTTTAAACCTGCATAAAGTTTTTGCGCTGGACTGATTGCAGCTCAGTGTGCAGATTTCTTGAGTTTTCGTGTGCTCGTCCCACGATTAAAAAACAAACAAAAAAAAGCAAAACAAAACATGGCGATAGTATAACAAAGGCAGAGAAGGATTTTTGTGCTCACTTTGCCTGTCGTCTGTCCATACAATCCAAACAGTTCCCTCAGTTTCTCCTCACTGATGGCTTCTTGTCTGTCGATCTTGTTGCCCAGGATTAGGATAGGCACATTTCCAATAGTCTCGTCTGTCATCAGTGCCTAGGAGAGTTGATGAAGTGTTACTTCATGTATGAGATTGTCGAGACTATGACATTTGAGTAGAATTGTGCTCCTCCTGAGAACAGCAATTTACCTCTAACAGATATTCACAAAACCTAACACTTGACTTTTAAAAAATAGAATTTTTCATGTTCATCTTTGCACATTTAGTAAACATTTGTCCTAAAAAGGAGCCCATTTCAAAACACAACTAAGCAAAAAATGTGTCAGTTTTTAACCAAGTGGAGAAAACACACAGTTAGGTAAATGCCCAGGAGTGTGAGCGTTACCAAGAAGGTAGAAGCTACTCACATCAAGTTCTGCTTTTGATTCGGCCAGTCTTGGGTGGTCTGCACAATCCACAAGAAAGACGATGCCATTGATGGCAGGGAGGTAGTTTTTCCACACTCTGCGGGCTTGGTTAACAGAGAGAAACGCAAAATGAGTTTTGCATTTTGACTTCTCGTTTCAGGCGTTACACAATGTATTCTTTACAGTCTTTTGCTCCAAGCTTTTTGTAAGAGGACATTTCTTATGTCCTGTACAGATGAATGACATCGCAATCATATAAAAAAAAAACATTTAAACACACACCTTGTGTGTGGCCTCCTAGGTCAAAGGTGGTGAACGTCATCCCAGCAATTGTCAGCTCTTCTGAGGCTGGAGGAGAGGGTCCACAAAATAAGCATGAATGGGAGAAACATCCAACATTACACTGTTACACTGCAGCTACGATTTACACAAACGATTCATCTCCATTTGCCCTGCACTGGTTGTCTTTGAACACAGAACGGAAAGAGCTTGTGTGGACATGCATGTGTGACAGAGTAGCACCCAACTCACTTGGGTGTAAGGTTGGCACATGTTGTCCCAATCTGTCATCTTTGAGCATGTGCAATAGCGTTGTTTTGCCAGCATTGTCCAGGCCAAGAAATACTAACTTGCCAGATTTCTTGTACAGTCCTGAAATTAAACACAAAATATCTCAGGCATAGAAGCAACACCATTACATGTGTCTTTATCAAACAATATTGGAGAAAAAAAAAAAAAGAAATAGACTATGAAGGTGAAACTTTACAAGGGACTGGTAAGCTCAGACTTTCTGTCAGGATTGAACAGAATATTACATTCATAAAGATTACAACACATGCATAGCATCAAGTGCATCTCTGTTCATAATGTCATAATATGAATATTAAGGCCAAGAAAAGGATGCAACACATTGACCAATCCCCAAAAATGTTCAAATGTTATGAGGAACTGGACGGGAAAAAATTCATTAAATCGGTTGGAACTAAAATGGTAAAAAACAACAAATAAAAAAACAGATTTCCCTTGCACAAACAGTGATCTAAGTGGGCAGCTCATTAGGGTGTGTATCATGACTCAGCTGTCATTTTTCTTCAGGGAGTTTAAGTAAAAAAGCCCTTACATTTCCAAAACAGCTAGTGATTACCAGCACATGGTTTGCAGGGATCAATTTAAGGCCACGCCTCTTGATGAACTCTGTCTTTACCATTCTGAGTCAGGACAGCAATACACAATAAATCTGTTACATTTCGGATTGAGTCAGCCCTGCTGCTCGTCATGGTTACTCACAGCGGCAACCAGCTGAGCAGGGAGAACAGGACCAACGGCTCCATACAGTTTTTAGACAGAAACTAGAACACAGCTCTCTGGGGAAGAGGTACCCTTTACATGTTCTTTCAGCTTTCAGCTGTATAGGATACGCCTCATAAGGACTAATTCAACAACCTTGGGTGACAATTTGTGTCACGCAACTAAGGGACATTAACTTTGTGTAGCCTGATGTTTACACATCCCTTTTAAATTGGTGGACGCTGTTAGCTGAGCCACTTTAAACAAACACAAGCTGCTCATGTGGCCCCAAAGGGTAGAAAAACACTTCAGAGGATATCAGCTTCTTTCCAGTAACTTCTGCCATAACGTGGATTGGTTTCTAGACACAAAGCTTAGTACTGTGGACCAGTCACAGTCCACATTACACAAATAAGACTGTGGGGGGAAAACATCTGTGAGTGTATTGATTTCATCAATCGAGTTCGTCTTGTGAATACTAAAGCTTCTCTTAAATTTCCTGAATTGTTTGCCATGATTATGAACAGCTTTGTAGCTCACACTAACATGAAGCCATCTTGATTCTTCTTTGATAAGGTGTGGAATCATCTTTACTTACCTAAAAACTGTAGTACGCTATTAAAACCGCTATAAATCCAATCAAATAGGAATGACATATCCGGAGCTGTTGAATCCTGGAAAAACAAGAGAATAGGGACAAAACAGAAGTTAGAAAGTGTGAATGCAAAAAGAAAGTGAAACCGAAAAAGCAAAACTTTTTACATGTATCCTATACAGTGACACAAAGTGAGCCTTCTGTAGTACATTTTATTTTTTCATGTCAATGACGAGTGTATTCTTGTTTTTTATTTTAAATATGACTTAATGAGTTAATCACAAAGAAAACCTACATAAAAAAAGTAAAACAACAAAAATACATACTAAATGTAAATTTGTTGCAATTGCTGTATGCCACTTAGATAGGATATAAGTGTTTTTTTATGAACAGGAGCGCCCACGGGCCAAAAGCTTTAATACTGAAAACATTTTCAATTGGGAGTGATCTGATCTAGTGATTGATCAGGTTGAATAGCCTTTTTTCCTGGTTTTAAAGCACTAGGGCTGTAATCAACCAAAGTAATTCTAGGTTGACTGAAACCCTAAAACCCGTCTACTCAAAATGGACTAATTGGATTATTAAACAAGTCCAAACTAATTAAAACTGCATTCCTGAAAAATTAAGCGTAGGCTCAAAACAATAGCCTACAAACAGTGGCCACAAAACGTTTACGCATTACCCCCCAAAAAAAGTAATTGTTTTTTGTATTCAACTTTTTCCTGCCATACTGCCAATGTATTTGACATGGTTAGTTGAGGAGGACTTACTGTAAATTAAACTTTAAAATTAAAGTAACCATTAGTCAAACTTTGAACGTTAACTATCGGGAACGTGCTTCAATCTAACCGTCTCTATCATCTAGGGCTAATCCAAAAGAGTGAAAAAAGGGGGGGGGTTCTATGAATACAGTCTGTTACCTGTGAAACAGGTGTTCTCTGAACACCCCCATTGACACTTGGTACCTTCTTCCTGATGAAATTAACCATTGACTGTATGAAATTAAAGGCAAATTGGTCGACCAATCAGAATTCTGGTCGACCCACAACGTAGCAACCAATAAGTTGATCGGTCGACTATGAGTTTACAGCCCTATGAAGCCCAACGTGCCTCTTAAGTATGACCCATTTCATTCTTGAACACCCATGTAACGCTGACTGACAAGCTTTTGGATCGTGTTACTCAAAGTTTAGCTTTAAAGTTTATCTCTTGCATTGAAATGACAGTTTTCAGCCAAAGTAGATGAGTGTTAAAATCTCAGCGTCAGCAAGGCTTCACTTTCCTTATGTTTGCAACAGAGATTAAAGCAAACGGTGAGACTCTATTGGAGATTTGTATCAACACAATCACATCATGCTATGGTTTTCCATTAAGTCCCAACAAAAAGAATGGCTGACAGGCCTGTGATGTCGTTTGTATGCACAAGACGATTAGAGGGATATCATGGTGACGACATACCAGCATAACCTCTGTGTTGGACTGTGGTGGCGGTTTGTATGCATGGCATTTATGATTGATCACAGAAACAATTTAATCAGGTGCTTGTTCTGCTGAATTTAAAAAAAAGGCACGATTCTCCTCAAGGAGCTGCTTGCCAAGTTTTGGCCAATCAGTGGCTTAAAGTAATCTGTCGGCCAAACTTGGCCCGCTTAGAAGCCCATCAAAGAGGTACTAAAATCGTGACTATTAAAGGTGGCAGCCCCTAATGGAAATGTTTTAAAAAAAGAAAAACAAACAAACAAATGAAACTGTAGGGCTGAGTTCTGCTGAGTAAGTACAAGTGTAAAACTACAAGCAATTTGTCCCCATAAACTGCAAGTTCATGGTCAAGTATGGTATTTGCTAAGATTGTAACTGTTAGGAGGCACCGACCTCTAATGGATATTGAAAAAGATGAATAAATAAAAATAAGAAAAACTTGTAAAGCTGAGCTGAAACTAGTGGAAAACCCCCTGAAATTATCACAGTATAGAACTATTTTTTAGAGTCTGCTTCAGCTTCCAGTGATTATGCTTTGCACTTTCCTCTTGTTCAAAACAAAGAATTTTTTTGCATTTAGCAACTGCAGAAGAGAATATTCAGAAACATTCTTTGCCTAAATGAAAAAAAAATCATATGATTAAACAGTTCTGAGTAATGTTCAATAAAAAATATCTAAACTACTACATAGTAAACATAGTTTTCACTGAGTAGACTGCACATTTATGCTGATAACTAACTTTTAGTCAGTTCACTTCATGTCATTCTATACAAAGTGAAACTATGAAGAAAAAATTGTATTTCCCCATGAATATCCCATTTGTGGACTAAACATGGTTTTATTTTATAATTTCATAAAAGACTAACAACTTAAAGCTAAACTGCAGAGGCATGATAAGACCACCAGAAACAAATCACCACCACAGCACAAACCCCATGATAGGGATGCCATTCACATACAATACTGTATAGTTTCTTTAAACCTATCAGAAAGATAGCAGCAACTGGTGATAAAAACAATGAATGGTTTCAGGAGTCTTCAGAGAGTGCAATGGGGGAGTCAGAACCTTGATCACAGAACATCTAACACTTCCTTGAAAGGCTATGTTTTGTTCAACACAATGTGTTCGCAAAGGCCAAATGAAAACCAGACTTAGTCTTTCAAGACAAGCTTGTCTAATAATATGCTAAATAAACAAGATACGTCTATACTTAAACCAATTACAAAATTGTATCAAGTCAACAGCTTGCTATGTGCAAAGGCAACCGTTTCACTTGAAAGAAACCCTTCTGTTCACAGTAATCTGCCTGTCTATCTAGTTGATTAATCTGTTCTTTTTCAAGGTCATTAAAACATGAGAACTGTGGGAGGCAGGGGGAAACAAATCGCCTACTTCCATAAACCTGGCAGATGCTTTCGTCCAACACAGCCAAGCACTCTGCTTATAGTTTCCCCTTATTTCCTTATCATTGCTCATCCTTACTATTGCTATCCTGTCATCTATAATAGGTATAGAATCATCAGAACAAGGTAAGCTGGCGTTGACCTGTAGCCCCACTTACGTAATGTGCAAACAACTCGAGGCTAAAGTGTAATGCAGACAAAGGTCAAGATCAGGTAAACACAGAAAAACAGTCATAGTTTATATCAGCTCATGTGAATCTCTGGACCCTGCCTCAACACAGTGGGCTGCAATGATATGAGTGGCGTGATGTAGCAGCAAATGTGACACAAACCACAACATAGGTTCTCAAGTTTAAAGACCCAAGATGCTGCAAGTACTGTAACAAGCACACCAAGATTTTTACTAAGAAAGACATTTAGACTTTAGACTTAAGTCTGGGGTGAAATAATCAGAAAAGTAACTTGTGCTTTGGTAAAATACATAATTAAACAACAGTCAGGTGTTGTCGATTAAAATAATATGAATTTATGATATAAGTGGATTAGCAGTGATTTAAATGGAAACATACTCAAAAAATACAACATTTAAAATACAACTTAATGTGTGCAATAAGTAGAAGTACATGAAGTAGTACAATAATAGTTATGGTAAATTGAGCTTCATGACATTCTGTATAAGTCCAAATTTACATAAAAGACCCCTATATCAGAGTCAAACAATTAACTGAAGGTTAGATAAACCTGGTCAAGTGGTATGTGAAATGATAAGGAGAGACAAGTGTAATTCTAGATTCAATTACCTCACAATGATGTTCAACTAATGCAAAAAATGAAACCATTTCATTATCTGATATAACCTTATAGCTGATTCATAACGAGGTAGTACTATTTCATATTCATACTCACAAATTAATGACGGTTATTTGGGGGGCCTCAATCAACATCAATCAGGTGTTAAAACAGCTGTTTAGCTGTCAGCTAGGTTGTTAGTCTCTCAATAACAAATTCGAAAATTACAGTCTGATTTCTTCACGTAACCAAATATCTCAGAAGAATAATTACTGTTGGCGGCCATCAAAATTAGGGACAACGTTTAAAATAAAGTATGCATTACTGTTGAATAACTTTAGACCCGATGGATAATGAAGGTGCGAGTGTAAATTAACGTACACGCAAAAGCATTAAAACTGAAACCCTTCCTTTTCTTACAGCAGGTTTAGACAAACTAACGATTGACAGGTTTCAAACTAACACCGGCTAACGGACCAGCTAACAGGAAGCAACTAGCTACGTGTCATCTTCTGTAGGCGACGTTGCATCGAGGGTTACTAGCCGCGTTAGCTAATCAGTAGTTAGCTGGACAAATCGCTTGTCGCTCTACTATACACAAATATGTGTGCCGGTGTGATGTTTTTTCATTCGGTAATGGATGCTGCTGTCAAAGTTTACAGAACAGTCTCTAAAGACAAGTTTAAATCCAGCACGACTCAAGCCGAAAATAAGAGTTAGCCAACTTAGAGTTAGCCATGCTAATGTAGCATCTGTAGCAGCCGGGGTAATTTGCCAGCTGAGAAGCCGAAGGCTCACGTAACACTCCCTTTTTGATGAATACTTAAAAAGGGTGTAAAAAAAAAAAAACTTACCTGTTGTCTAAGCGTAGATTAATTTACCAAGTGTGTTTGCTCTATCAGTCATGTAAATTAATCTCTCGGTCAGAAAAGGGAGCCTGTAAGATGCCAGGTCTTCCTCACCTCTTTCGTGTTTTGTTACTGAGCCACGACACTGCAATGGCTGTCCAACTACTCCCCAAAACTCAGCCCAGCCGCTTCCTGTTTATGTTTCACAATTATCTTTCCGACCGGGTAACTGAATTAGTTCAAGAGTCTTATTTAACAGATTTCTTACGTACAAAGTCAGTGACAGTGTTATTCAAATTGGCAAAAAATGTGGTTCTATTTACCATTTTTATTTGACAAGTGAAATACTTGTGCACAGCAACAATTTTCAGATAATCACAAATATCAGGATTCCGTGACATTAACCTATACCAAATTCCTTTGACATATTCTGAAACAGATTAAAGTCTATATCCTGGATTTGAAAGAATTGTTTTCCTGTAAATAATACTTGACATTTTCCATTTCCTCTTTTTTTTTCGTTTTTGGAAACGACCTAACAAAAAAGACCCATACCAACATCTTAACCTGGACTGTCGTGCGCACAAGACTTATACTCATTTATCAAATAGGAGAAAAAAACACGAAAAAGGATCTACTGGAAATGAAATTGTTTTGGTTACTTTGTGAGTTTCTGGATAAAACTGAATTGATCTGTTTGGCTTGAGGCATGTGAAATACCTTTTCTAAATAATTCCTCTCGTGGATTATTAAAGTATTTCTGATTCTGATTTTCTGAGGAGCAGAATAATGTAATCTTTTTTTGTTTGTTTTTCTGTCAGTGATTCTAGTTAAAGGTAGGACGTGATTAAAAAAATACTATTTCAAGATTCTAGAGAAAAGCATTTCAAAGTATTCTTGTTCATGTCAACAATAGAAAAGTAAAATACATAAATGAATAAACAAACGTTCTGGTGGTTCAGACATGAATCTCACACAGAATTTTTTTAAGGAAGGCGAAGGTTGGGGACATAATCCAAATGGAGACTATCACATAAGAGGTATAATTTGTATTCAAAGTCCAAACATGTTTGTATTATTATAGGGAACCATTTGACTTCTACCAATGCAAATACAGGTTTTATCCTCAATTTGGGACAAATGGTATCCATATATGAGATGTGCATTTATTCAGATAGCTAGATAGTTATCATCTTTAACAGAGCCTTTTACTATTTTTTCTTTAAAAAAATCCCCATGTACCAAACCCTGGATGGGAGCATAGGAAACTATTTATCACAAAAACTCTTATAGCTGGTGTGTTTTAGAATGTTCAGCGGAATAAATGTATTTATTTTACCATTACGATGAAGGTATTTTTACGTCTGCGTCGAGTTTACCTATTATTTAAAGGTTTACCCCCAACCTATTAAACATATACTTTTAACAAGACCAACTATTTAAAAACAATCATCGATTGAACTTGCCTTACTTCCCTTGTTTCTAGTACTCTAGAAAATGATGTGCACAGGAGGAAATGCCACGTGTACATAATGCGCATGCGTTTTTGTTTTACGTTGATCCTGCTGGGTGATCCCAACTTCCGGTGTAACGGGAGAAGCGTTTCACACGATTACGCTGACCAGGCCCATCGTTACACACCCGCAGGTAGTTGAACGGGGTTTTTGGTTATAGTCATGGCTTTGTAATTCCAAATAAATAACCTTAGTAACTTTTAAAAAGGAAATAGACCACATAGCGTTGGACGCTGTTTTGACTAAAGGTAACATCGTCTGAGCGACGGGTTCAAACGTTACCCAGCGACTGTCAGCTAGTTAGCTAGCTAAAGACGTAGCGAACTACTCGCCACCCAAGCACCTCTAAATTGGATCCTGGTGTCTATTTCAAGATGTCAACAGCGGGATTCAACTCTCAGAATGGGACTGGGACGGGACAGAATTACCAGAATGGTGAGTAACATTTCTGCACGAAGAAAGGTGGATCAATGCTAAGTGGTTGATATTAGCTAACATCTAGATACAACCTTTTAGGTACGAGCGACAGTTAATTGTCCCTTTGGCTTTCTGCTAACTGATTTGGACAGCAACTCTGTAACTTAGGCAGTTGTAACTTAGGTAAGGATGAGCTGTCATGTACGGATACTATACAGCTAATCTTGATCCATTTAACCTCACCTATTTAGGATTACAGTAATTGTTGCTAATGTTGTTGTGCGGTAACTGCTCTAGTTGGCTAACTAATTACTTGTTGCCAGTGTTTGCCAAACCAACAGGTTGATCGAAAACTCAACAGGTACCATGATATAGTTAAGACAAGTGATGTTTTTTTTTATTATATACTTGTCCTATAAAACGCCGGCGATGCAAAGCGATTTCCTTGGCAAATCGCCTTGTAATCTTAACTCTCGAGCCTCCCGCTTAGCTTGAACGTCCCTTTCATAATGACACTGCTAACAATCCTTTGCATGTCTTTTTCTCTCGTGTCTGTGAATTTTTCCTTTGCAGTTTACAAACTACAGACTAATCTGTCTGGTTATTGGTTCATTCGCAGTTGGTCAATGTGAATTTGATCAGTTTAACTTAACTTGTTTGCTTCCCTGTACTTCACTGTACATGTGGCACATTGGGGACGATCCAGATTTGTTAAAAAGAGAGATTTGAACCATTTTTGTATATCCCTAGTCAGGTAACTGCTAAGGAAGACAATCTAAACTGAATCTGTGACAATCTGTGAGTTTCTTTTCTTTTGTCTGAGTTTCTTTTCTTTTGTCGTAGTTGTGTGTGTGTGTGAATGACTTTTCTTGTGCTGTACAGACTAACTGCTTCATTGGTTTGTAATGCACACACTGGTTAAGACATGTACTGTCTACTTTCTTGAATAGTCTCTTTTAATCGTAATGTTTGCCTCTCTTTAAGACTGTGAATCTCTTTTTTGTTCTGAGTTCTCATTAGGCTCAAAACAGCACCCTGTATTATCTACTAACCCTAACCCAGATCACTCCAATCGAAAGTATTGGAAAATATTAATCTTTCACTGTATTCTTAAGTAATTTTGACGGATCTAACAGAAGAAGAAACCATTACACTTTACCAATATTATGAGGTAAAGATCTTGAGAATGATTAAATGTGATATGGTAGTGTAGTGACTTTTTCAAATCTTCCTTCAGTAACTTTCCTCATTAAAGACCTATATGAGAAATTAATCTTTCTTTGTTATATTCTTATATCCTAATGGGTTGATTTGAACCCACAATTTGGATTTACAAGTGTTTTCTTCCTTTGTGTTTAACCCTTCCTGAGTGGGGGTTGATTGGCTTAGTTGTCTGTTTAGACATTGGAGTTAATCTGATGAGATTTAAAAAATGGTGATCGACTGATTTTAAGATTAAAATAATGCAAAAAATATCTTGTATTCCTTCATATGTTTCAGCTAATTGAGAATAGTTGTTTTCTAATTGCTTTTGACCCTGCTGACGAAGCCCTACTGCTGGTTATGTAGTGAAGCTTTAAATGGATTGTTTTGTAAACATTTTGGCCTCAGTTAGCAGCACATTGCTGCATTTAAGTACAGTTTTCAGTTGGATTATATAATGGGTAGAATATATTTATTTGTAATTTACAAATTGATAACTTTATTTTAATGTCCCTACATATTTATCTACTCATGGCAAAATCACCTGCAATTGAAATGATTTGTTTTGGGGTTTTTTTTAATGAGGAAATAACTGTGATAATTGAAGACTTGGCTCACAGGCTTTGTTTTCTGAGGGAAGTTCATGCTTTATTCATTCTAAAAACAAAAATAATAATAATAGACCCCTACCTTCTATTTAATTGGTGAATATTAGTTGCTTTCACTAGGTGATCCTTATGGTTTTTTCTTTGGCACTTTTTCACGCCTTCAACATACCTCATGGCTCTTGAATTAGAAGATAATAAGCCACATTATTGAAATCTGGGAAGGGAAATGTCATGTGATGCAGAAGCATACTAAATCAGTCCTTGTATTGCTTTTAAAGAGGACAGAAATATTGCAACTTTGGTCTTATTTCTCTGTGAAGGTATGTTCCTGCTTGTTGAGGTTTTAACAGCTGCCTTTCAGAAATGTTCCATGATAACTTTGGTAAAGTTCGACAAGACTGTAATCTAGACAACTACAAATTTGAAGAAAAAACACATCGCAGGTCTTGTTGCTAATATTTTATATTTGATATATTTCTTAAAGAACTCCACGTCTGTTAGACATGTAGAATGTCTGGAGATCTTTTTTTGTTTTTTGTTTTCACTAAGTAACAAGCCTGCATTTTCTCCCTCTGTTTACCAGGTCCATCACAGAATCCAGTTGCCCTCCAGCAGATGCCAGGAGTCACCTACGGCATGACTCACCAGCCAGCCTACAATCCAATGCAGCCCAAAGCCACCGCGTCCCCTGCCCCTGGACTGTACCCCTCCGGGCCGTACCAGCCTGTTCCCCCAGTTAGCGCCTATCAGCCAGGCCCACCGCCCTCATCTTACCCATCACCTCCAGGCCAACCTCTGCTTTCCAGACCACCAATACTAGGCCCTCCATCCCACACACCCCCTCAGTCTGCGAGCCCCAGCCCTGGTCCCAGGCTACCCCCAGCACAAGCCACACCTCCTCCCCCTGCTGTGTCCACTACCAGCTACTACCCCAACCCTCAACAGCCTATGGCTCCAGCATGGCAGTACAACACAGCTACCCCACCAGTGGGGCCGGCCACCTCCATCAGCTCGCACCCCAGGGGCCCTGTGGCCAACCACGTGAATCAAGCTGCAAGCATGATTTCCCCTCCACCTCCGTCGTCTGCAGCTTACAGCTCTGCACCAACAGCGCACAGTACCACCCAGCTCTCAGGCCCCGGAATCCCACTCGCCCCTACACACGGATACACTCAGCCAGGTAGGAATACAAAGGCTCGGCTGAAACTTGTAATGGTGATTTGGAAATCCGAAGCTAAGTTTCACAACACAGTCACACTTTCTGTATACAACAGATAATGCTGTAATGATGCAAAAGTCTATGGGTCAAATCACTCAAAAGATTTATCGCCCTGGTAGGTCTCAGTAACAGCTAGGTTTAGCCAGTTCCCTGTTATAACAGAAGAACAGGATTTCCATCAAAACTACTTGGTTTTCTTTGCATTTATTTCCCATTTAAAGGGAGTGGAATTTCTTTTATGGCAGCTGCACTGCATTTTAGAAAAAAAACTCATACTGTCCCCTTTCTAGTGACTTGTTTGAACAAGAGAGTGAGATCGTCTTTCCTGTTCTTGCCTTCTTCATTTGACATGTGCAGTAGATATGCATATCTAGCGCATTGATACGTTGGAGCTGGACGTTGCCCTCTGCTCCCATACTGACCATGTTGGCTGACGCCTGCTGCCTCTGGCTCCCTCCCAAGCAGACCGATTTACTCTGACTCAAGTGCAAAGTTCAAATTTGGCTTTTATCGCTGCTGTATAACTCCTATATATTTGCATCTGAAGATGGCTCTCGTGCATCTAGTACGAGGAAATAATGTTATTCATGACGTTAATCAAATGGACATTATTTTATCTTTGTGGCGTTTGTGAATTTTTTTACTCAAGGCTGTTATACAAAGAGAGTTAAAGGGTTGCATCCTCACACCTTTGAAAACAAAACACCACAAACATAGCTTCTAGCTTCTCTGTAACAGTTTCATCCAACAGGAAGTGGCTGTATATCATGAAATGAGCATTAAGAACGAGGGTTGCAAGGATGTACAGGGAGACTTTGCTTATGAATGCTGTGATTTGACCATTTGGTGGCTTTCACTTCTTGATTAAAGTTGTGTTGGATTTTGAAAATTAGATATCAGTGAACCTCCCTGCAGCTGTCACTGATCAGTTTGTCAGGCAGGCTGGAACTGGTTGGTTTGTCAGTGAGGTTGGAGGTGTTGTTGCTTTGACATTAGCTGGCTCCGAGTAAGAGGTGGCACCACCTGCTGTTGCCTCCACTCACTTTACAATTTTGGAGCACCTCTGTGATGATGAATTGACGAAACAGCGACTGCCAGAAATGAATAAATAGATAAGTAGATAGATGAATAAGTATATGATAATACTGTCTTTCATCAGGCACTGGACCACCACCGGTGAATCCTGTGCCTCCCAACACCTACCAGCCAGGCAGACCTGCCTATGGAGCTCCACCCACAGGACCACCACCAACCATGAAACCCACACTACCTCCCACTGGACCCCCAATGGGAAATGCCACACCTCCACCACCCAGGGCAGATGGTTAGTACTTAATTGTTAATTTATCTTGAATATTCCAAGTGTCTGTGTTTTTTTTTGTTTTGTTTTTTACTGACGCATGCTAAGATTCCAAACTTTAGAAAGCTTTAGAGCATTTAAGTTGAACTACAACGAAGACTAAAGAATCATTCGCTTTAAACCAGTGGTTCTCTTTTTTTTTTAAACGGTGGGAATAGCTGGCTGATGTACCTGGGGAATGTTTGTTTGGTTTCATTCGGTCAGCCACCAGAGTTTTTAGACACATGACACAAGCCAATCTTTGCAGCTGCAGAGCCCCACTTATCACGGGTCATAGGACCTGTTGTGGTCAAGGTCCCAAGGAGCTGTGATGAGTTTCTCTTATTTTCATTTCTGAGAGTTGGAAACCATTGCTCTAACAATTTTCTATCATTCCTTAGAAAAATACCAATCGCACAACCAGTAGCCATTAATCAGGGAACACTCATCGGCTGTGCCTAATGACTTCTATAGATATGATGACAACTAATGTAATTTGCGGGGACAGATCTGCTGGGCACTAAATGTTGATAATGGTTAAATCGATGAATGGAATTCAATGAGCGATGAAGCTTAAACAGCCTGAAAAAGTTAAGCCATTCCAAACGGGACACCTGCCATTGCTTTTCATGCGCAGTATTCTGCGGTTTGATGATAATGTAAAGATATCTATGCAGTTCTCAACTAATGCTGCCTCTGGTTGTAGTTTCCCATTGATAGGCAAGGGAAATGCGCAATTCTTTTACAGCTGCCTGAGATCACAGAAAGAGCAAAGACAGCTCCACAGAGACCAGCAGTCATGTTCTCACCCCGTCTATCCTGATTCATTTGACAGCTTTGTGAACCAATGCTGAAGGGGAAGTACCCACAGGCGTTACTAAACATTATTTTACAATATTCTTTCTACTTACCCCCCTTTGTCCTTGATGAGACGAATGAACTCTTCTTTCACTGAGGTTTGACACAACAGTGGCTTTTTGTGGTATCGTTAAGCCATGCACTCATTGGGACTTCACCCCCTTGTGGTCACACTCCTCTCCCCATATGCTCACAGAGTTTAACTAGTTCCCACAGACTCGTCTGTTGTGGTTGGTCATTGTGAAATTAAATGCTACTCTCAGACATTCAAGCCTCAAAAAAACTAAATTATTTGAAATTCAAGAAAAACAACATGCTTTATCGCATGGCAAACCAAGCATTCGGCCTTGTGTCCACAAGTCTGTGAGCCATCCAGCATGAAACAAACCTCAGGCAAGGTCTCTATCTATCGTAAAACATATATCTTAAGGTGTTAACAAGATATGAATAACAAAAAACTGACGACAGAAGTTTAGAACTCCATTGAAAGGCAGCTGCTGGAGAGACATAAGAGTTTCCTCTGCTCTTTTCTTATCCCTCTTTGATCTCCTTTATCTCGGTGTACATTTCAACTGAGGCCCTCGGCTTACCTCTCACTGCTTCTGCTGCGCTGAGGTTCACATTTAAAAGGCCAAATGGCGGCCAGATTTATCCCACTTGGGCACCCAGGGACCGATGCTGTTCCACTTCCCAGATATTTTAAATCTCTACTACCCAAATATAGAAAATCAATTAAAGGATTTAATCAATTATGGTAGAAACAAACGTATGTTGGATCCTTTATGAAAAAAACTATTTCAAACACACCTATGAGGCCAAAGGTAATGTAAATCCAATAAAACCATGTAAGAATTGTGATGTTATCATACTGTCTTTTTGCTGTGTAAATCAATGGTTTTTGTTTTCCTCCATCTTACACATGCCAGCTCAGTGTGGGGGAGTTGTCAGCAATGCTCTTCCTCCCACTGAGCCCGACTGCACAGAGGGGGATATTGAATGTCCAGGTGTGACAAAGTTTGTAGCCGTCCGGTGTCTTCGTCCGGTAGATGTTGTCACTGCTGTGGTGCCTATCCCTGGTTGTTTCTCCTCATGTCTAATGCACTCATTCCGTTTTTTTTTCATCCCCTACACACAGAATCGGCACTCGCTGAGTTCTGATTAGTTTCCTTTCTAACCATAAAATAGCATTAGGAGTTTAAAGATTTAAAATTGACTTTGTATTGTGATGCTGGGTGTTGTGATTTGTTTTAATGTGGATTGTGTGTAGCAGAGAAATTTGTCATGGTAGTTTTCACCTCTCTTTGCCCTTTAGCTGCATCATATCTCTCATGTGACTTCGTCATAAGCATCTAAGTGTAGCTGTTAAAACGTCTATAATTTCTTTAGTTGGTATTCACATCATCGTATTACCATATTTTAGTAGCCTTCTTGTGTCCGTCTATCCTTTGGGTGCAAGTAGCAAACTTTCTCTTAACATGATCTGTGTTTTGATACAGGAACCATGGCTGGCAACGGCCCACAGGCATCAAACAGCTATAATCATGTTGACAACAAGATGGGTAAGGGGCCTTTCTGTCACTTGTAGTTGTCTTTTCATGCCCGCTTCATGGACTGTCTGTGTTTATAGTGAGAGTTTTTAAGGCACAGCTTCCCATAAGTCTGCTCTGTGGTTTTTGACACTGCATGTTTGTTTGTTTTTGTTCATTTTTCAATCTTCAACTGTAAATCCTGCCATCATTAATTCTCAAAAATCTGCATTTGCTTGAGGAATTATTCCATTTAGTTTGAACATACCTGCTGGTGTAAGAGGCCACAGGGTTTACATGTAAAAGATTATATTACATAAAAGGCCCTTTCTGTGCTACAGACCTTCAAAGTTTTCTAAGCCTTTACAGCTTAAGTATTAAAATTAGAATCAGAGTGCCTTTGAACACAAGTCTGCTGGGAAAAGTGAGGAGGCTTCAACATTTTTTGATTGAGGGTTTCAAAGTGTATGCTTCACTTCTGTCTACTTACATTGCCTGTTATTTCCTTCTGCTCACAGCTGGCTTGACCCAGCCCGGACCACCTGGGCACTACTTGGGCCACTACCCTTCCCTCCCTCCTGGATACCAGAACACCTCAGGCCCCCACACAACTCCCCCCATGCATCCTGGCATGGCGGCTGCCCAACAGCCTTACACCCAAGCACCTCAGCCATACCAGCAGGTGAAATGAAACCTTTGTACTGACTTTGTAAAGTAGGAACGGTTAGAATGCACGATCAGCTCTTGTTCACACATGCAAAACAGCCTCCGGCTGTACCAATGACGTACAGACCCAACATATTATTTTGTTCATCATTTACAAAGGTTTTACCCCCCTTTTCTCTCTTTTAAGACTAGTTTGTCATGCAGGGGTGATCATCCACACGTGAGACTTTGTTGTGGGTTTTAATACAATTCTAACAATTGTGTGCTTTCTTCTCAAACCTCTGCAGATGCCTGGTGGCCCAGGCCCAGCCCAGCTGAGCCCATCATTGGCATCCATGAGCCTCCAGTCCAGCACCCCAGAAGCCCTGAGAGTGGTCAACCTGTTGCAGGAGAGAAACCTGCTACCACCAAACCCAGTTCCCGCACCCACACCCTGCCTCCCCCAGGACCTGCAGAAGATCAACTGCAACCCAGAGTAAGCTGCGATCAAACCAAAGCAGCACCTGTTTATCTGGACTATGCAGTCTGTATTTTAAACACTCATAACAGTGGGATGGCCGTTCTTCGAACTTGGTTTTATAGGCAAATTATTTCCAAATACTTGATGCGTTCAAGAGGGGCCTGTATTTACGTCACCCTCACTCCACAGGGAAATTGTTAGCTGATGTTTCCATCTGTGTACAGATTGGTTTTAGCTGAATATTTACTTTTTCTTCATTTCAGGGTCTTCCGGTCTACACTGACCAGTATCCCTCAGACCCAGTCTCTGCTCAATAAGGCCAAGATGCCCCTGGGCCTGCTGCTCCACCCCTTCAAAGACCTATCGGTAACAGTTCAAGTTTATATTCATTTAAATCTTTCAAATCTTTTTTTTTTTCTTTCTTGCTGTATATGTTATTTTATGTCCCCACCTAAATGGCACATAAATGAAAATTTTTCTCCCTGTTACAGCACTTTAGGGGGTCAGAGGAAATGTGTTGTTCTCCCTTCAAATTGATTAAGCAGCATGTGTAGTCATGACCCATTTAGTTTCCCCCTGATGTCAGGGAAAGCTAAGTTTAGCTGCTATGAAGACTAAGTATTGGAACTCGCAACAAAAGGACAGATTTACTTTCAAATAAACATGTCTGTCCGTCAGCATATTCAATTGTAGAATAAATTCTCCGACCACATCGTAGTTTTTTAATCAAATGTGATGTAACAAACCAGTGTCCTACAGGGTTGTTGTTTTATCTTTTTATTCAGAAAAACATGATGTAACATCTTTCCAGTTGAGGTGATCAGACTGTTATATCCTATAGATTAAACTTAACCATAAAGTGTTGGATGGAATTTTTTCCAAAAACACATTTTAGGAGTTTTAAGTTCATGGGTATGGCTGCATTTATTTTGAAGAAATTAGAGAGCATAAAGTGTAATGGAAATGATGCCTGCTTATTTTTTAATATTTTTAAATGCAGCTTCTTGTGCTTTTTTTGTCTGTTGAAAATGAAGTTGTGCTCAGTGAGCGTTGTCTGAAAATGTCTTGAAACTGAAACTGAAGCTGAGCTTTTTATTATTGCTACGGTTGCTATGGCGAATTCTGGTATTCCCCAAATCCCCAACACTTTGAAAAGGGAAAAGATCTAAATCCAAACTTATAAAGTATTTTCATCTGGCTGAGTTAAGAGTTATGTTGATTTTCTGTCACCTAATTATTCTTGTTTCTTATTTATATGTTTGCGCTCAGTCTAAAATGTTAGCTCAGTAGATCCAACCCTGGATTTGAATTTTTTTTTAAATCATTTCATTTGAATTACCCATTGGTATCCATCCATTTTATTGCATTGCTATAAAATGGTTGTGTTGGGGTTGTGTTGGGAGCATTTAGGCGTGTGATTTGAAACTAAATTCGGAGTGATGGAAGACGAGTTTGCTTCATTGTGAATGACATTTCTTTAAGACTTAGCTGCTACATCCTCTTCGTTATGATTAGACATGATCATTTCCTTTCTCACAAGAATGTGACCATTCAGCCATGGGATCACTCTACTTGTGGACACGAACGACAGAGAACTTTGCACGGCTTATGCAACAGCAAGAGATTCTTCATTCAAATGCCTGCTACGCTTGGATGCAAACTCACGGAGGTTTTCATTTTCCTGTTGTTGCAGCAACTTCCTGTGGTGACATCGAGCACCATTGTCAGGTGTCGGTCCTGCAGAACCTACATCAACCCCTTTGTCTCTTTCCTGGACCAGAGAAGGTGGAAGTGCAACCTATGCTATCGAGTTAACGATGGTAAGCGGGGAGAGTGAGACAGGAGAAAGGAGTGTCTGTATAAGGTTGAAGGCATTTTAGACTCATGCAGCCTGACCACAACACAATGCTTTCGTAGTGCAAAGACATCCCCTGTTGTTTTCTTCATCACTCATTAAAATATCAGAGATTACAATGCCCGGCATAAATAAAGTGAAGAGAAAAAGTTCAGAAATGTTTTGAGGATGGGAAGAAAACTTTTGATAAAAACACCTGGATTGTCTTTTTTTTTTTGTGTAGTCCCAGAAGAGTTTATGTACAACCCAGTCAGCAGATCATACGGAGAACCACATAAAAGACCCGAAGTCCAGAACGCCACCATTGAGTTCATTGCTCCTTCAGAATACATGGTAAGGTTTTGCTTATTTTTTCCCCCCCACTATTGTAACTTTCAAAGCATCAACCGACAGTCTGGTGGTTCTTTAGCTCTGTGGCTCCCTGTGCAGTTGTGCGATTTAACACCATCCTGTCTGAGCCCTGCATGTGTATAAGCCTTTCATATGAATTTGTAATTTAAAGAGGCTTGCATACACACTTTCAATCCACCCAAAACATTTTTAAAACACTGCAATGCAAGCCTACAGCACCATCGGACAATATATGTGAAAACAAAGTCAGAGATCAAGAAATACAAAGTGAATGCAGTTTGCTTTTTGACTGACATCTCTTTTTGCGTTTATTACCATTTGTGCAGTTGAGGCCACCCCAGCCTGCTGTTTATCTCTTCGTTTTGGACGTGTCTCACAATGCAGTAGAGACGGGCTACCTGAATGTGTTCTGTCAGTCACTGCTGGACAACATCAATGCGTATGTTCAACATTCCCTTTGGAGTTAGTTCAGCTGTAACAAAAGCCATTTTTAGTTTTCCTTTCAATATTAGAATTGAAAAATATTTTAAATAGGTGGAAATGGATTAAAACTATTATCTTAACTATTGTCCCTGTTATCATGTATGGTGCTTTAACCAAGAATGTGTGTAATCCAAAGGCTTCCTGGAGACTCGCGGACAAAGATAGGCTTTATAACTTTTGACAGCACCATCCATTTCTACAACCTCCAGGAGGGGCTCTCCCAGCCGCAGATGCTCATCGTATCCGACATTGAAGGTGAGGCACAGCTGACAGCAAAACGCAACACTCAAAAACTAACGTAGTTATCAGAGTTGGCTTTTGTTAAAATATTTTATTCTTTTGCCCTCCACAGATATTTTTTTACCAACACCAGACAGCCTTCTAGTAAACCTCAACGAATGCAAAGAGGTAAGAATTGCACCTGGATTTATGTAATGTTATAGAATATGAACACTGGCCAGTCCTAAACCATCATGCTTTGACATAATACTCATAGATACATAGCATTTTTTTTTTTTTCAATAGGCTGGTTTCCAGTTTTCCCCACTCTGTATGTAGTAAAATTTGTATTAAGTAACATTGGTGGCTTCTGTTTATGTTAGGTTTCATGTCTTCTAAACACACTAGCCAGGGCCCGATATGATTTATTTCATGTTGGATATTTGTTGATATATTCTATTTTTTTCTTCTTCTTTGTTTCAGCTAGTGCAGGATCTGCTGAAGAGCCTGCCAAATTTATTTCAGAAGACAATGGAGACCCAGTCTGCTCTAGGCTCAGCTCTGCAGGCAGCCTTCAAGTTGTTGTCACCCACCGGTGGGCGCATGTCTGTCTATCAGACCCAGCTGCCTAACCTTGGTGTGGGGGCTCTCCAGTCCAGAGAGGACCCCAACCAGCGGGCATCTGCCAAGGTATTAATTTCATCTTTCTTTAGCCTCTCAACGGGAAGGCTGCTTAACATGCAGACTGATCAAATCACTGCTTTTAAGATTGGTGAACAATGCAAAAGAATGTGTTGTTAGTTTCAAGTTTTACATTCCTTTCCCATCTTTTGGAGGTCAAGAATAAGTAACAATAATAATATAACTGTCAGTAAATTTAGTTTCCGCCTCAGTTCGTTTTGCCAATGAGGTCACACACCAGTAAGCACAAAACAAACCTATGCATGTTATGTTAAGTTTTCAGAATCTCCAGGAAACGTTACTGAAGCCTGTGTTCTCCCTTTCAGGACATCCAGCACTTATCCCCAGCGACAGACTTTTACAAGAAGCTGGCTCTGGACTGTTCGGGCCAGCAGGTGGCTGTGGATCTGTTCCTGCTCAGCGCTCAGTACTGTGACCTGTCATCGCTCGGTGAGGAGCAGGGTCAAGAGGGAAACGGGGAAAGGGATTATTTAAGGGTTTTTATTTCTCAGAAATCCAGTAGTGACAATGAAGGGAAAAAAGGGGGAAAGTCCTTTCCATGTGTATGTGAAAACAAACAGTGCACTGGTGGATGTCACATAGACTCCCACAAAATTCAATGTGACAATATAGAGGGAAGATTAAGCTCCACTGGTAGTTTTATTTTTAGTTAAGACCTTGTTACAGTCTTATTTTTGGTTTAATTAAGAAAATGGATTCTAACTCTTCAAGGATAAGTCATAGTAATATGGAATAAGATTAAAATTGAATAGATATTTCTGATTTTTTATGTATTCTCTTTCTGATCATTCTCTTTACCCAGGTTGCATATCCAGATTCTCGGCAGGGAGCGTTTACTATTATCCCTCCTACCACCACCAGCACAACCCTGCTCAGGTGGAGCGCTTCCAGAAGGATTTGAAGAGATATCTTACAAGAAAGATTGGATTTGAGGCTGTGATGAGGATACGATGCACTAAAGGTCCGGCTGCCAAGAAGTTTTTTACATTATTTGAGATCGTATTTTGTTCAGCCCAGTTTAACCTCGCTTGTTTCTCTCCATCGCCCTGCAGGTCTGTCCATCCACACGTTCCACGGAAACTTCTTTGTGCGCTCCACGGACCTGTTGTCCCTCCCCAACGTCAACCCGGACGCCGGCTTTGCGGTGCAGATGTCCATCGAGGAAAATCTGGACGACATGCAGGTTGTCTCCTTCCAGGCCGCACTGCTCTACACCTCAAGCAAAGGTACACACAAACACACACAGTGCAGGCAGTTTTGTATTCTACAATCACAATGTAAACCATACCTGTGACCAACCTGTGGCCATTCTTTTCTCTCACAGGAGAGAGGAGGATCCGCGTGCACACTCTGTGTCTTCCCGTTGTCAATTCTCTGTCGGATATCTTTGCGGGGGCGGATGTTCAAGCCATCTCTGGACTTTTGGCTTGTATGGGTAAGTGCTGCTCTCAAAAGCTACACAAGGACGTTTATATCCGGTCCTAAAAATGCTTTTTATCCATCATATTTTGTCACCATCCATTGCTCAGGTTATCAAACTGAGAAGGGGGATACATTTCTCCATGGAGGATAGTTTACTCTGATTAGTTATTTTGCAATGAATATAGTTTTCCCTCATAAAATCGTAATTATTTGTCTTGCAAAGGCTTAAAAGATAGAAGCATGCACATTTTGCATGTGCATTGCACTAGATTTATTTTCTAATTCTTAAAAAGCTATTATGTGGTTGTAGTTTTTTTTTTAGCTTGAGTACTGTACATGTTCCTTAGGTGGATGTGGGAAAACATGGGGTAAATAAACATCCCACCACATAACCGCCACTGTAGAAATTCTTATTTTGTCATGTCCTTGAAGGGGTTTCATCCACAGGGTGTCTCACATTGACATACGGTGATGAGTGGAGACAGCTGCTGTTGCCTAGCAACCATCGTTCATGGGCAGTCATGTCTGTCCGGTCTCATCAGAGAACACTTTAGAATATCAGTTAATTTCTCGTATGAGCTTGAGGAGAACACTAAATTTAAACTGAAAGTGTCAATTAGGACTGTTTGGCTTTTCACTGTGTTCTGTGTTTCATTGAAAACAGTATTGATGTGCATATTCAAGAGGTTTTTGTTCTGGGTAATGTGCTTTCAAGAATCATCAGAGTTCCAGGAGGTTGATGTTATTCAGGTTTTCACAAAATCTTTGGCTTACATTCTAAACTTTCTGGAATTCAGGTTATTAGGCACCGACTTCCCTTCTAGTGAACAGTCCGAAAGTGGACCATCGTGTTTGTTATTGATTCTGTTAAAGAAAAAAAATAATTCTGATTCTATTCTTTTGATATTGTTACCAATGGGGGACAAACATTCTCACTCTACCAAACAGCAGCTTGACAGAGAAAGCTGAGCTCCCCCGTCCCATTTCTGAAAACCGTACCTTGTCCCTCTCTCCAGCTGTGGACCGCTCGGTGACCGCCAGTCTTAATGATGCAAGAGATGCGATGACCAACGCTGCCATCGACTCGCTGACGTCGTACCGGCAGTCTGTGTTGACCATCCAGCAGCCAGGCCTGCTGGTTCCAGCCTGCCTCCGACTTTTCCCCCTCTACATCCTCGCCCTGCTCAAACAGGTTACCTCTTTTAAAATAATAAAGTCACTGTGGTTAACTCTTGTGTTCTTTTCATGTTCTGCAGTCGTTTACAGTTGAAATGAAAAAGAGAATGGACCAAAACAACAATGTCATGTTAGCAATATGCTCCAATTGAGTAACTCTGGACCCTGTTTCTTCTGGCTGTGTGCGAACTGCAGAAAGCCTTCAGAACCGGCACCAGCACCAGGTTGGATGACCGAGTGTTTGCCATGTACCAGCTGAAGTACCAGCCGCTGATTTACGGCATGTTGATGATTCACCCTTCTTTGTACCGTGTTGATGATCTGAATGATGAGGTGAGGATGAGGTTCAAGTTCACCAACATCATATTTTTCTATACACAGTAATATGATTGCAGAAAAAAAAGCAAAGACAAGTTATCTTGTATAAATTGGAAGGATTTTGATTCTTTCTTTTCTCAGGGGGCTCTGAACATTAACGAGCGGACCATCCCCCAGCCTAAAGTGCTGCAGCTGTCTGTGGAGAAGCTCAGCAGAGAAGGCGCTTTCCTCATGGATGCTGGACTCGTACGTTTTTACATTTAGAACTCATGTCAAGATGACTTAAGTCGGCAGTAATGTCTGAAGTCTCAAGGGGAAAAATGTTTTTTTTTTTTATTAGATAACTTTATAATGTGCGGAATAAGCACTCGGTCTCTTTTACCCCCCTACATCTTCTTAATAAGACCTTTAGGTGATGAGTTGAAATATGAATGTATTTTTCTTCTTCCCTACAAGGTGATGTACCTGTGGATCGGACGTAACTGCCACCTCAACTTTCTCACACAAGTACTGGGAGTTCCAAACTATGCTGCCGTGCCTGAAAACCTGGTAGGAAACGCCACGATGCAGTTAACACCCTTCACTCAAATGTGTATTTGTGCACAAAATCACCTTAGAACAATGCATGTGTCAAATCTATTATAGTTTCTCTGTGTAACTTTATAAATAATCCTGCTATAATTGATAACCTGATTGTTTCTTTCCTCTAAGTTTATCCTCCCAGAACTGGACACTGCAGAGTCACAGAGAACCAGAGCTTTCATTGGATGGCTCAGGGATCAGAGGCCCTTCTTCCCCACTCTGCACATCATCAGGTGGGTAGCAGACTTCAGTTGGTGTTGGACAAGAAGGAATAACTTGGAAATTAATTGACAGAATTGGCGGCTTGCTACACTGAGTTGTCAGCTTTAATCTGACAGTACCTCCAGTTATTGATTTCCTCCCTAGACACAAAGAGGTTTGTTGGGATTTAAGATCACAATAAGTCTAAACAGTTGGATAAACTTGGTTGGATAAAAATCTGCTCTCATTTTCCGATTGCTTTTTTTCTTTTTTAAACCTGAGAGTGACAGGTTTAAACCTTTCAGGCTGAATGTAGGGGCTAAAGTCAATATTATATTTTATTAATTTGTGGGTAAGAACTTAAATCTTATGGATAACTATAGGACTGCCTTTCTGACACATCCACATAGATGATGGAGCACCACCTCTGAACTGCTGCTCTTCGAAGACAAACAAACCACACATTCCAAGATCTTGACTAAATAAATCGACTCTAGCACCTGTTCCCTCTCAGGCTGTGAACATGGGTGTCATGATTCATGAACAGCTGACATTGTGACCATGTGGCGTCTGCGGCCCTGTTGTGCCACTATGCCCATAATAACATAACATAAATCAGGTCTTTCCAGACAAGACAAGATTTTACCTTCCTGGTGCAGTCCCTCGTTATTAGTAGCTTTGACTATTGCTCCTTTCTCTCAACGATCTTTAACCTCCCTAAAAGGACAGGTTACCCCTTTGTTTACTGAGCTAAACTGGCTACCTGTAGCTGCTCTTGTTAAATATAAATCACAGATGTTGGCTCACGAAATTATTTCCGGGTCTGCTTCGACCTACTTGCGCAGACCCATGTGAATCCTCAGGGTCCTTCCTCTCCAAAAAACATAATCTGATGTTGCCATCTCTATGAGCCCAGCTCCTCATGCTCTTCTCCTCCCTGGTCCCTCATCGGTGGAATGTCCTAAAAAGTGCTAACAGACATGGGGTCCCCCCCCCCCTCTACCTTTTTGAAGCACTTATAGACTTTGCTTTTACAAAAGTACCTTCACTCATAACTAACAGCTAACAAAACCAGGCTCTTGACAGTATAATGTATATAATATATAAATATTGTTTAATTGTCTTGTATCCTTGTGTGCTGAATGCGTACATTTAAATGTGGGTGCACTAAATAGAAGAAGAATTGTTTTACCCCTGTAATGAAGGATGTTAAAGTCTTTGGGTCTTTTAAACTAAGTGATGAATACATTTTCCAAAGAAAAACAAGCAGAAACTAAGACTTTGACCTTTTTCTTCCCGTGTTTTATGATTTTTCAGGGACGAGAGCCAGCTGAAACCACAATTTATGCAGAACATGATCGAGGACCGGACGGAGTCGGCCCTGTCATACTACGAGTTCCTCCTCCACCTTCAACAGCAAATCTCCAAATGATCCTCTGTGAGGTTGCTCGAATGAAGAAAAAAACCTGGATCAAAGACATGCATCGTGTGTACGTGTGTGCGTATAAATGTGTATATGGGAACGTGTATGTGTGTGTGTGTGTGTGTGTTAAAGCGGTGAGAGACACACCAAGGGATGCCTGCTGCTCCATCTCCAACTGTGGCCCACTATTCTATCGGAGAAGAACCTCAGCTGAAGCAATCAGTTGTGCTACGGAGGTTGCGAGAACGCGACTGAGACTCTATTCAGATGTAATGCGGCACTTTTCTTACCAGCTGAAGCCATGTGTTGGAGGAAAACTAAAGCAATGATGATGATTATAATGTCAGTGATTGAATGAATCAGTGTTTATTCTCATAGAACAATGCTGTCAAATGGGTATCGTTCAGATACAGTGCAGGCAAACAGATGTGTTCAAGTGCTTTTGTTCTAAAAGCACACTCGTCTTTACTAACAAATCAAACATGTACGCATGTGAGTATGAATGCTCAAGTTTAGCTTTATGAGAAAGGTAAGTGCTCAAAGACTGTTCTTGGGTGTCACCTTAAGTATTTGTGCGCACACCACCTGAAGAACTCTAACATTGTACCTGAGGGACGGAGTGTGTGCTTTTTATTTGACCGTCATTATTATAATTGTGTGTTGAACAAATGCATAGACTCTGTTGTTGAAGGCTGACGAACATTTGCTGCCTGGACTGTGTTGGCTGAAAGTGGAAAGTAGTCCGCGGGTTTGACCTGTTCTTCAGAAACACCCCGTCATCTTTTCTTTCTCTGGACTTTTAGAACACCTCTGACGTCATCACTGTTCTGTTTTTCTGATTGTTTAATTTATGAGACTCCCAATCTGATTAAATTCTATAATTGCCTTGTATGGGAACTCACTTTTTATTTGTAAACCTCCATTTAAATACAGACTCTATATACAAAATATTTTAATATAATAGGATATGGGAAATTCTTTAACACAGGCATAACAAAGCCATTGTGATCTTTTAATCATGCTTATTGATACTTGTATATTGAAAATACTGCATTATATATAGATGAATAAATGCTGATGATTTTAGTATCAACATGAAGCTGAAATGACGCTAAGAAAATAAAATGTTTGGGACTTTTTCAGCGCAGTTTGTGTTTTGGTGGGTGAATGGTGTTAATTCTCTGCAGACAAAGTTAGTCAAAGTTTCTCTGGTATGGTCTTGTATCTAGGTTCCTGATTTGGGCCAGTTTCAAAACAGTCTTCAGTCTGTGTGTTGTACACTATAAATGTATTTAGAAAAAAATATCCCTCAATCCTAACGACTGAATATCGTAAAAGAAAGAAAATTTAAACGTATTACCGTACAATCCAAGAAACATTGCGTATGTTGCAGCCATGTTCACCAGTTTTAAAGCCTCACCAAACAAAAATAAGGGTTTGAGGACGTGTATGCCTCAATATTGGTGATTTGTGACCTCTGACTACAAGAGAGTTGATTGAATACAGAATTAAATGGGGGGGGGGGAATTACTTGAATATTTTGAGAAGTGGTTTCGAGAGTAAACCACTGCCAGTGAACACCCCAGAAAAGAGTCATTAATATTCTTTTTGTTTATAATGAACCGCACCCCTCACATTGTGGCAGGCAGGGTAGAGTGGTTAGACACCAACTTTTAATTTTAACGTTGTTGAGGAAATGTTTTTTCCATGGTAAATTACTTTTTTCCCTTTAATACTTCTTGTGTATTAAAAATATCCATGGAAAATTTATTTTTAATTATAATTTTTAAATAAGCTTCCTGTGAGACATCGTACAGGGCACCACAACCCCATAACCTCTTTGTGGTTCTCGAAGGAAACGTCATCATTGTGCGTCCTTTAATGAGACTGCACTAGCTTCATTCCGTCATGTTTACCGTCTAATTCGGCGTCCTGGGGCTTCTTCGTCGTCCTACGTGAGCCGTTGAGTCGCCGTTTTTAGGCGCTCGGGCGCTTTGGTTACATCTTTCAGCTTCAACTCTTTCATTTAAGTAGCTTACAAACATGGAGTCCGGCGAGGCCAGCGAGGAGAGAGCGGGCTCCGTGTCAGCGGCTCAGCGGAGAGCGGAGATCCGGAGGAGAAAACTGCTCATGAATTCAGAGGACCGGATGCACAGAATCGTCGGATTTTCCAAAAATGACTCTGATAATAACGGTATGTCTCTGTAACCGATGTACGCGACAGTGTTTTTGCTAAAGGGAGGGTGTTTAGTGTCGAAACGCGTTGCCTCGCCCGTTGCTTCTGACTGACCTGTTCCCACAGTCTGCATGACTCCATGCTGCAAATATCAGCATTTAGAATAAACATAAACGAAACGGTTGATTCAACAGAATTTTTAAAAACCTACTACGCCTCCCGACTTGGGGTTTAGACCACCTGATGCAGAATCGAGATAAAGGTTAAATTCTATTGGATGACTCGAGTCGGACAACAGTGTCTTAAATTATGGACAAGCACCATCGATATTGAGTGCAAGGCTTATCAGCTGACTCATCCCCTGCATCTCTGTCTTCCATTATGTCACGTGTTTATGGTCAGGATTGTGTGTCTGTGTTACTTCCAAGTGATTTGTTTGTCCAGGCGTCACCAAAATGATGGGCTTCTATGACCCCATCAGTAAAAGAGGAGCAGAGCTAACCCTAACCCTATTAAAGGTAGCTTCAATAGGAAACTACCTTCCTATAAAAGAACATGTGTATGATTTTACAGGGCTCAGGACATCGTTTGCTCCATGAGGTGTTTTTTTACTCTGGGCCGTTTCAGGTGTAGCTATGTAGGATTTCTCTAATGTCATTTTCCTCCCAGCAGGAGCCCCCCGCCGTCCGACAGAGCCCCGCTTTCACCTGGATCTGGACCGGACAGAGCCGTGGTCCTCGTCCTCGACTTCGCAGAGGTCGTCCCCCTTCCTGCCGGAGGTGTCTGGACGCGGCAGCCTGTCCCTGTCCGCCACCCCGGAACGACGGGGGTCGCCCCTGCTGGACAGCAGCGAGCCAGCCGGGGCGTCCCTGGACGACGACGTCGGAGGCCTGAGGCAGAGAGCCAAGGGGGAGCGGGCGGCGTCGGTGGACCTAAGCGGCTCGCCGCGGCGGGGCCTCCACAAGTACCTGTCCCGTTTCGACGACGCCATGAAACTCCGCAGCCAGCTGGCCAGCGAGAAGCCGGCTCAGGACGGAGGGCCGGACACTGAGGAGTTTGATCCGTTCAGGCTCTTCAGGCTGGTGGGCAGCGTTCTGCTGGCCGTGTTCGTCAGGGTCTTCGTCTGCAAGTACCTGGTGAGTCTTACTCCTGCGCGAGTGAGAGCGCAGACTATATTTTTTGGGACATTACACAACCTGCAAACTCTCACGCAGTAATATTTTGTGTTTTGATGCCAGTGATGTCTCCTCTTTAACTGATCTTTTCTCATTCCAGTCAATATTTGCTCCATTTCTGACTCTTGAACTGGCCTACATGGGATTGTCTAAATACTTTCCAAAGGTGAGTTTACAGTGTCTCCTTTTTTAATATTTTTTACCGTTGTCCATTGTATTTTTGTTAAGAGAAGAGACTATTTTTTGTTTACAGCTCTGTGTAATGCACCCTCTACCCTCCCAAACGCGCAGGTTGAGAAGAAGACCAAGACCACCGTGCTGACCGCTGCCCTGCTGCTGTCCGGCATCCCCGCCGAGGTCATCAACCGCTCCATGGAAACCTACAGGAGGATGGGGGACGTTTTCTCCGATCTCTGCGTCTACTTTTTCACCTTCATCCTGTCTCACGAGATTTTGTTGCTCTTCGGCTCGGAGGCTCCTGACGGACAGGGGGCCCCTCAGTAATCCCGCACCGCCTCTACTCACCGTTCCCTCCCTTCCGCTCCCCAGCACCCTCTGGAGCTCCTTTTGTTATCAGCAGCAGTGGAAGTGAATCGCCTGCTGCCCCGCGATAAGGGCCGCCTTCGTAATTTCTCTAAAACTCTTGAGCTGATCTAGGAGTTTGATACAGGGCCCACGGGTTGCTATTTACAGTTTGTGTTCAAGGGGTGTGTGAGAAATGTGCAATGACATGCGCTGACGTTTATTTGGAAGGGCACGAGCAGGCACAAGAGTATGCAAGACAAATTTCGTCACTGATCTACAAGCACGCCGTTCCGGTCAAAATTCAATGGATGTCGGAAAAAGACACCCACTGGGGTCTTTTCAAAGGTTTGTGAAATGATGGATCTTCTTTTGTGACGAACGTGAAAAAAATGTTTGGGAAAGAAAGCTCACAAAGACGGATTTCACACACCAAGCGAGGCTCTCCGTGGCTGAGTTGTTTGTTAAAACGCGAATCTCATTTGTGATCAGTGTGATAAAGTTGTGTACCTCCTGCTTAAATTCAGTGTCCTTTTTATCATAAGCCGGAGCAGTTTGGCATGTTTCTGAAAAACCTTTGTGCGGAACTGACCTTGTAATGATGGGGAAAACGTGATCTATTCGAGGTTATTTGTATGACGCAATAACCCACATTCTCCTCTGATGTTTACTGGATGTGTCACTCACATTTGAGACCCCCCTGCGACATAATCGGCTCCAGACCATGATACCCGCAAGCTTGGATCCTCCTCAGAGATGAAAGGGGACGCAGAAGAAATTTGGAGGCAGCTTCTCTACCCCACCGTCATGGTTTTGTCAGGTTATTTGAGGGTGGCGGCTTTTCCTCCACTAAATAGTGCGTTCTCAGGATAAAATTCCTTTCAAAAGGAGAGCCACAGGAAAGTCCATGTTCTGATTTTTTTTCCTGAGACCGAGCTCTACTTGAAGGACCTTGAAGTTAGTTTACACCTTAAGGTTCTAGTCTTTAGTGTCTGTTTTTCCGGTAGTTTTTTGGTGATTATGTTTTGGAACTTAAGGACAGTGATGACGAGTGGGGGTAAAGGTTGTCACTTAAGTTATTAGAAAAAGGATAAAGAAAATAAAGTCCCTATGTTTAAATGGAAGTGAACTGCCATCACTAACAAATGGAAGAGGGTTGTGAATGTACTTGAGCCTCTTAATATTTCTGGTTTTGCGCTACATTTCTACAGTTTCTTCTGATGTCCTAAAACTTCGTCTTGAGCAGTCAACAGAAATTAAAACAAGAATAAAAGCTAACTAAACTCATCACCAAAATATCTGTTCTTCCAGGTTGGGAAGGGAAGGTATTTTTCCTTCCATTGATGATGCTTTGAAGACAGATTGATTCTGATGTTCTACACTTCACAACTCTAGATCCCTAATCCGGAGCAGAAACCTTTGTGTTTTGTTGGGAAAGAGGTCCTAAGGACTAGTGCGTCGCAAAGAGGAACCCTGATGGAGGTCGAAAAATGTCATGCTCAGGTTCCTGAATGATTTAATGTATTCTGTTGCTGTAAAAAATATATATATCAGACACCTGCTTCTGTGGAGTAATTCAGAGGACCTCTGAATATCACTACCTGCTCCCCTATCGTGGGAACAGGCCAGCAGACAGATGCTGCTTTAACTCATTAACCATCTGGAATTCTTTCTGATGTTTAGGCTACTAATGTGTAGAGTTTATGTATATGGTGTTTATGTCTTACAGAAAAATGGTAGAGAAGGCCTGATGGAATGGGTGTAAACAGACTGAGGACAAAGCTTATGTCTTGACTGAAAGTCTCTTAGATTGCTGTATGTTGGTGATTTAAAAAGAACAGTGTTCTCTTTAGAAAGTTATCTCTTCATTCTTCAGCAGAACCTGAAGCAGCGGCTGCCAGGTGTGTTTTAGCAACTTGAATTTAATGGATGTGAATTTACTGTATCTGTGACTGCTTTAGCTTGTATTCACTGCTGTGCTCTGAGGTCCAGGGTGCAGCTGCTTCATGAACAAGTTTACCTTTGTTATGTCTGATTAAGCATTTAATCCTGCAATTAAAGGTATTATTCTGAACTTCAGCACATTGGGAATGTTTCTGGTTTGTACCGGAAAGAAACGTTTGTGTGTCTCATTGAGAGTTTGTTGCTTCTTTTTTGTTGAGTAACTATGGTGATGTGTGTTTTGCTTTGCTTTGTCCAAACTCATGCAATTAAACTTTCCTTACAAAATACTCTATTCTTCCCTATTTACTATTTAATCTAATTGCATTTTGGTAATGCACATTTTTATTTCTGTGTAAATAGACTGGGATCTATCCATCAAGTGTACTTGATTTGTCTTTTTCCCTCCTCATTTCATGAACTCATTTAAAATAAACATGTCTCATGTGATCAACTTTCATTTTCTGGTATTTGACTAATTTCTTAGTCTATTTAGAAAATATACAATGGGAAACTCAGCTACTATTTTAAGGTCATACTTTAACACAAAACATTAACTGACATTTTATTAATTTATTTTACTGAATGCTTTTTAGGACAGGTAGGCTACCAAAATATTTTTATGTATGATCACATATATGTTCTATATATGATCTCAGAAGGGGATTCTATTATATGAGTTATTATATGGAATAAATATGTATGTGTGTGTGCATACTTCAAATATGTGTTGTTGGTTTTTTTTTATAAATATGCTTGTTGAACCGTATGTTCTGAGGCTCCATAGGCTGCCATTTTGACATCCCACCACGGGGTGACGCACTGTGATACACTTACAGTTTTTGGTTTTACCGTCGCAGATTTCTGACGTACAACTTGTAAGACACAAACAATCCTCAACGCGTATGATTCGTTATTTTCTGCGAGAGAATTACAGTTTTACGAAACTTAGCCGAGTAAGGTCGTAATGGGACGTGAGTCAAGGAATGCCCAGGTGAAAAGGTCAATGCAACTTTTTTAATCATTCAAAGAATTCATTATAACTTGTTACATTTCATTGGCTAACATTAGCATGTTAGCTAACTACGATGCAGTAGCACGTTTCCTGACAGTTAATTTGAAATCGTTGCCTGATTCAAATGGTAAAGGTGAGTAACTTAATTGTTTTGTCTATCCGTTTATTTAATCCCCAGACATTATAGGAAACGCTCCGCGTCTCGGGGCCGGTCAGGTAGCCGATCAAAAAGTCGCTCTCCGGACAAACGTTCCAAGAAAGAAGACCGAGATAGAAACAGGAGAGACAGGTCGCGGAGCCGGGAACGCCGACGGTCTCGATCCAGAGACAGAAAACGAGCAAGGTACGCACTTTAATGAAGGTTACACTGTGATGTCAACCCTTGTCCGTTAGGTTCCCATTTACAGGTGTCTTTGTTGTGCAGGCGTTCCAGAAGCAGAGAGAGGAGGAGAACCAGGAGCCGTGAAAGGAAAAGATCGGGTAGCAGAAGTCGAGCCCGCAGATCCCGATCAGGCAGTCCTGGAAAGAGCAAGAAAACTGAAGAGAAGTAAGTCATTATCTTCACAATTTGACTACCATGTCTAGTAACCCTAACCTCTGATAATCACTAAACTAAAGGAGAATTGTGATGGACAGAGTGATTGTGTTGGTTTGTGTAGGGTAAAACAACATAAGTTTGTTTAACTTCAAGTTTTCTCAATGTCCCTTTCATCATTTTATTTGCAGGGCAAAAAGCAAAGAGAAAGACAACCCCGATCCTGTGTCTGAAAAGAAAAAGGTTAAAGAAGAGAAAGAAGATGAGAAGGTTGAAGACGTGAGTTCCAGAGATTCAGTTTTTCACATATTTCCACACCCTGTTTTTCTTTGCCACCATGTTTAAGAGGATTATATTAGAGAGAGAATCTTTTATTTGGTCTGAAAATTAAACGACAACCTGTACAGATTTCAACCCCTCCCTTAACCTTGCATGACATAAAATGGGTGGAGAAAATATATTAATATCTTGTGTTTGTGGCCCTGCAGCAAGACTTTGACCAGAACAAGCTGGAAGAGGAGATGAGGAAGAGGAAAGAGCGTGTGGAAAAGTGGAGGGAAGAGCAGAGGAAGAAGGCGATCGAAAACATCGGAGAGATCAAGAAAGAGCTGGAGGAGATGAAGCAGGGCAAGAAGTGGAGCCTTGAGGATGATGATGGTGAGTAAGCAAACAGGAATATGTTTATTAAAAAAATGCACTTCTTAGCTTGCTGAGTAGATTGTGACTCAACAAGCATTTCCAAAACCAAATCTTTCAACTCTTTGTTTCAGATGATGACGAGGAAGGTTCAGCTGTGATGGAGGTGGACGATGAAGAAGATGTGGAGGGGAAGGAGGAAGGGGAGGACGATGTGAAGGATGTAAAGGAAGAGAAGAACGAGGAGGGAGAGAAGGAGACAGAGACTCCCGTGGAACAGCTGCCTGAGGAGGATGAAGTGGATCCTCTGGATGCCTACATGGAGGAGGTCAAACAGGAGGTGAAGAAGTTCAACATAGGAGCCATGAAAGGAAATGATAAGGTAAGAAAATGAACAATACACCCACCATGACTTAAAAGTTTTCAGTTACCACATGTAGAATTTATTCAAACTGCAATCTGGACACTGATGCTTGCTAGAATTGTTTTTATGCTTGTTTTTATTGCTTGGTGTAATTTCTCATAATTCCTTTTGTTGGAGGTACGTGGAATATTTGTGTACGGCGTCCCGTAACAGTCAATAATGTTCATGTTTTCTCTTCAATAGAAAGGAGCGATGACGGTAACCAAAGTGGTGACAGTTGTTAAAACCAAAAAGGGACCCAACACTCACAAGAAGAAGGGCGAGCTGATGGAAAATGACCAGGATGCCATGGAGGTTTGTATATGTCACTCCTATTCTCTCTTTGATTGCACACTAAATGAAGAATGGGATTAAAAATGTTCTCCTGTCATGATGCTTCTGGCAGTACTCTTCAGAGGAGGAGGAGGTGGACCTGCAGACTGCTCTGACGGGCTTCCAGACCAAACAGAGGAAGATCCTGGAGCCTGTTGACCATGGAAAGATCCAGTATGAGCCGTACCGCAAAAACTTTTATGTTGAGGTGCCCGAACTGGCAAAGATGACAACCGACGGTCAGTGAACACTACGTGTTTCGCACCAAAACAATATCTTTAGATATTAGTAAAGTAGATAGGAAAAAATTGGAATTCACTTGATTGAACTGATTAAACATTTTTAAATGACTGTGAATAGCATTTTAATTAACAGTGATTTTTGTAATGATTGGATTGGCTGAAAATGTGTTATTTTCTGCATCTAATCGAGTAAATACCATTTAAAATGTAAATGCATCAGTAAAAATGCAAAATATTCCTAAAAAAGCAGTTTTGTCCTGTTAGGAATCTCTTTTTCAGTCTGACATCAATATGTGGGGGCTGTTTTATTCACTTATTTATTTATTCTTATAAACACAGAGGTGAATGCGTTCAGGCTGGAATTGGAAGGTATCACAGTCAAAGGAAAGGGCTGTCCAAAACCCATCAAGACCTGGGTGCAGTGTGGAGTGTCGATGAAGATCCTCAACGCGCTAAAGAGGTGAGTTCACACACACTGACCGTTTGTGTGAGAGGTGACGATGTTGTCATTATCAGTGTCCTTTTGCAGGAAATGAAAACAATAGTGTATATTGAAGCTATAACTCCCTGCTGTTGTGTAACCAGGCACAGCTACGAGAAGCCCACACCCATCCAGGCTCAGGCCATCCCTGCCATCATGTCGGGCCGGGACCTCATTGGTATCGCCAAGACCGGCAGTGGGAAAACCATTGCTTTCCTTCTGCCCATGTTCCGACACATCATGGATCAGAGACCGCTGGAGGAGTCAGAGGGGCCCATCTGTAAGGACCAGTTCGTTTTCTACTCTCTGTACAGAAACCTCTCGGCTCGTACCCGTTAAAACTAATCCCAGTTCTAGCTCCTGCTCCCCGTTTGCATCAAACTGTATAAACGTTGTGCTTGGGACTGATAACAGGGGCAATCCGTGTTGTGTTTTTGTCCCTGTGCAACAGCTGTGATCATGACTCCAACCAGAGAACTGGCTTTGCAGATCACAAAAGAGTGCAAGAAGTTCTCCAAACCTCTGGGGCTCAGGGTGGTGTGCGTTTATGGAGGCACAGGCATCAGCGAACAGGTGAAAACACTCCCACCGTTGCAGATCTTAGGAGCAATCTGCCGTTAATGTTACCATCACTGATACAAGAACAAGAACAGCTTAGAGGAGCTCTACCTCTTGAAATTAAGACCTAAAAGGACACTTTGGAAAATAATTCATCTGCACTTTTGAAGTCTTCAAACAAAACAAAGACATTTGTGACTAAATATCTCTTCCCGATGAGTTGTTTTTTTTTTAGACTGGAAAGAGGACTTCAACTAATTAAACTAATTTTTCCTTAACTCTTATCAAAAGTCTCTCTACTGTGAAAGTAAAACTGAAAATTCAACCACATATAAGCACTTCTGGACATAAGATCGTTTTTAGGAATTGATTTAATTATGCCTTAAATTTAATCCTTATCTCCTTTATAAGCACATTGCTTTTTTTTTTAAATGACGGTATTGAAACTCATACCATTGCTTTTTAAAGATACTGCCAGTATATCTTATTACCCAACCCCAGTATGGTACAGATAATTCCCTAAAAAATTCCAGTGGTTCGAGGTAATAAAATCTTTTTAAAAAGAATAAAGGGATGTATAAATATCAGTTAACTTGAACTCCACTTGTCAGTGTATTTAATGCTGATCTGAATGCTCCGGCCACAGCTTGCCAAAACAAGGTGTCACCAGTATTTGGGCAGTTGATGCATTTGAAATGGAAAACTTAATTAACCTGGTAGTTTTTTTTTTCTCCATCATCCCTTTATCTTCCTTCTTGTGCTGGACTGAAGATTGCTGAACTGAAGAGGGGAGCTGAGATCATCGTGTGCACTCCAGGACGAATGATTGACATGCTGGGGGCCAACAGTGGTCAGTTTCCCCACGTCTTTTACGAGTGTTCATGTCAATGAGCATTTTTTGTGTCTGTTTTATTTTTCTTAATAATGTATAATGATCCAAACCAGTGCCATTTACTAAACTCTTGACATTTGACCGCTTTTGGAATCAGTCATATCTACAAGACAGTGAATGGTTTCCTGAAGATCAGGGCAAGTACAGGTAGGTGGACCTGGTGCTACCTCCATGGTTCCTTAGTCTCCAAGAGGAAGTCAGCTGTAATGCTTGGTAACTTTCATTCCAGGGATTTAGGAAGGTTACGCTATGTGATTTGTATTCTTTTGTTAAGAGAAGGTTTTATTCTCACTGAGGGTTAGAATATTGAAAAATGTAAAAAGTTAAATGTAACCTCCATTCCCACACCAAACCCTGATGGCTTTTAAAAAGTTTTTGTTGTTGTTTCCACACATGCGGGGTAACCTGTAATATGTTTCCCTTGTAGGTGAAAAGGCGCTCGATCAGATAATGCTTGATGGGGCTCCTTCTCTTGTATTGTATCTTGAGGCTGTTTTTCTGACTTTTACAGGTCCCTCATGCGCTTGAGATGGTACGCAAGACCGGAGACAAGCAAAACAATAAACAGTCTTAAATGGCAATCAAACAAAACCCTGGCCCTCAGGAAAATTACTCTAAAATGTGTAGATATTGTTCAGTAAACTTAAGTAGTCATATCGTGAAGGGTTTCTGTGTGCTAGATTAGTTTAATGTCTGTTTTATTTTACTTTGAGGAAGACAGGCTGATGGTTAGACCCTCAACTCCTTTTACAGTGGACTCATATTCTCCTCCTCTTCTTCCTTAATGTGCAGGCCGGGTCACCAACTTGCGCAGAGTTACATATTTGGTCTTGGATGAAGCTGACAGGATGTTCGACATGGGCTTCGAGCCACAGGTGGGAGACGCAAAGATGAGCGCTTTCTCACACTCCTGTACATATTGACATCTCAGCTTTGCTTTGGAATGCCTTTAAACCTTGCTACCAAATAAGACTTTGCAGACACCAGGGCGATTTTTTGCTTTAATTGGCAAAAATACACCGAAATTATGGTAAATACTTTAGTATAGATGTATGTGTCAGAAAGGGCAGCAGTAGTACTGGTTTCCCAAGTTTCTTAATTCTAGCCTTTTTTTTGTAATCTACAAAATCAGAAGTTAACAAGAGTCAAAATGTGCATTAATGAGGAGACAAGAATTCACTTAGTTGTACTGTCATACTGTATATTTCTTTTCTCCTACTAGGTGATGCGTATTGTGGACAATGTGCGTCCAGACCGTCAGACGGTCATGTTTTCGGCCACCTTCCCCAGAGCCATGGAGGCCCTGGCTCGCAGGATCCTCGCAAAACCACTCGAGGTTCTGGTTGGAGGCCGCAGCGTCGTCTGCTCCGACGTGGAGCAACACGTGGTAAATGATCAAAAGAAGTTATATGAATCCCAGACTTAATGTGCTACTGCTCCACTTTTAGATTTTTATTTATTCAGATTCAATCCGGTGATATTGCAACTTTATTTTTTATGTGTGCCTCCTTTGCTTTTTGTAGCTGGTGATTGAGGAGGACCAGAAATTCCTCAAGTTGCTGGAGATTTTGGGTCACTACCAGGAGAAGGGATCGGTCATCATTTTCGTGGACAAACAGGAGCACGCAGACGGGCTGCTTAAAGACCTGATGAAAGCCTCGTATCCCTGCCTGTCTTTACACGGAGGTACTGAGACGCTTTTCATCCTTTCTACAACATTTGGTTTTTGGAATTTTGTGACGTCGCCAAGCTTTGTCTGTGCTTAGATATGTGAAAAAACTCTCTGCTGAAGGATAAATATATTTGGTTTTTAAGGGAAGGAATGACTTTTTAAAAAAATGAATACATTTTATTTATTTTCTGTCACTCACAACTTCAATTGGAACCCAGAATGTTTAAAATGGAGTACGTATTTCAGTCTGTATTTTACTGAATGATGTCACTTTCCACAACGACACATATGCTAAAGCTTCCATCAGGTAGACAGTGCATACCCATGTATTTCAGCCCAGATAAATATTGTTATTGTCGCCATCCTAGGAATCGATCAGTATGACAGAGACAGCATCATCAATGACTTCAAGACGGGAGTATGTCGACTGATGGTGGCTACCTCAGTGGCAGCCAGAGGCCTTGATGTCAAACAGCTGATCCTGGTGGTCAACTACAACTGTCCCAACCACTACGAAGACTATGTCCACAGGGCTGGACGCACAGGCAGAGCGGGCAACAAGGTCTGTCACTTTAAAAGACCCAGTTCTTTACAGTAATATACATTTTTAAAATACCTTCTTTTATGTTTATGACTTTGCAAAGGCGCTAAAAATTACTGACTCATCGGATTTTCTCGATGCCTTTCTCCCTCTACAGGGCTACGCCTACACCTTCATCACAGAGGATCAGGTTCGTTACGCCGGTGACATCATCAAGGCCTTGGAGCTGTCCGCATCTCCCATTCCCACAGAACTGGAACAGCTTTGGGCTTCTTTTAAAGACCAACAGAAAGCGGTAAGTGAAAGCCCCATGAAGAACCTCAACATTTTACCAATGTAACATACCACTTTCTTGTTAGAATTATTAGCATCCAGTCTTCTTGGAGATTTATACTGTTTAGACATGTTTATGATTTCCCCAATAGTTTAGAGGTATTTAACTTAATGCTTCTGGCTTGATGTTTAGTATTTCATATATTACTTTTAGTGAATGGGCTAAATTCAAAAGATGAAAACGAAATGCATTAAACCTTGAAACCATACAACCATACTAAAACCTTGAATTTTGTAACATTTTTCAAATGTTTTATTTCTATTTTCTGTTCATACATGCAGGAGGGTAAGTCCATTAAGAGCAGCAGTGGCTTCTCAGGCAAAGGGTTCAAATTTGATGAAACCGAGCATGCTTTGGCTAATGAGAGAAAGAAGCTGCAAAGAGCGGCTCTCGGACTCCAGGATTCAGATGATGAAGAAGGAGCCCTAGACGTGAGCGACTCTTCCATTTGCCCGTACCGCGCATTAGCACAGAAGAATCCTATGGAACCCTCAAACGTGTGAATAAAATGTTGTCCTCCGCAGATTGAGGAGCAAATCGAAAGCATGTTCAATTCAAAGAAGAGGGTGAAGGATCTTTCTGCACCTGGAGCAGCCGCAGGCCCAGCCGGAGCCGTCGCAGCCACAGTAGCAGCTGCCGGAGGACTGGCCAGTCTCATACCAGCATCTGCTGGAAACATCCAGAAACTGGAGATGGCCAAGAGACTAGCTCTGAGGATCAATGCCCAGAAGAACTTGGGGGCTGAGGCTCAGGTATACCCGTCGTTCCGCGCAGTGCTCTGCGTCTGTCCTCCCCTTTTTGGTAATTTACAAACAAAAAACAAAACAAGTAAACAGGCTGAGTTATCCATGTAATATTTGGCGCCTTTTTTCACACACGTCCAGCAAATAAGGTCCAGTTTCCCTACTCTCTGTGTGCAGGACGTAATGCAGCAGGCCACTAACGCCATCCTGCGTGGCGGACCCATATTGACTCCCTCTGTGTCAGCCAAGACCATTGCAGAGCAGCTGGCCGAGAAGATCAATGCCAAGTTGAACTACACGCCTGTGGAAAAGCTAGAGGAGGAACGACAGGCCGCCGAACAGGCTGAGACCGTCCGGAGATATGAAGAGGAGCTGGAGATCAACGACTTCCCCCAGGTCAGCAGCACTGTTTTGAAGCTGTTGTTTCTTATATTTGCACATTTCCCCCTTTGGAAAAAAACCTACCTCACTGCAGGCCACGGAGTCAGTCATATCCCACTGAGTACTTAACCACCAATTGTTTGATAGTTTAAAATGAAGAAGGCACAAACAAAGACTTCATTGTTCAATATGTATATATTCTACTATGTAAGTCGCTTCGGATAAAAGCGTCTGCTAAATGCATAAACATAATTTTTCTTTTTGTTTCCTTTCAAAGACGGCCAGGTGGAAGGTGACATCTAAAGAGGCTTTGCAGAGGATCGGGGAATATTCTGAAGCGGCCATCACTATTAGGGGAACCTATTTCCCTCCAGGCAAAGAGCCCAAGGAGGGAGAGCGCAAGATCTATCTGGCTATTGAGAGTACGTATCATAGAAGTGATGTTTAGACTTAGATGTTTTTTTGTGTGTGTTGTAAAGCCACAAAGTGACTATTGATGTCTTTTTTTTTTTTCCAGGTGCAAATGAATTGGCGGTGCAGAAAGCCAAAACGGAGATTACCCGGCTAATTAAAGAGGAGCTCATCAGATTAGTAAGTACCTACAACAGATGAATATTACTATATGCCACTTGACAGATATTTATAAAAACCTTGTCTTTTTTCTTTTTCCTCTCCTTTCTTAGCAAAATTCCTACCAGCCAACAAGCAAAGGTCGCTACAAAGTGTTGTAGAGGAGGAACCCAGGTGTGACATTCATCATCCTGTCGTCTTTACAGTTTCATCAGGACGACAGAAAAATATTTTATTCTATATTTTGATAATGTGTCGGTAATTATATATCTTTAGTTTCTATTTTTCCGCTGTGCTTGGCTGTCCGGTGACTTTTTTTTATTTTTAAACATCTTGAAAAACATCTTGTTCCGCTAGTCTTCAATGAGATGAGCTATCTGTAATATGACTTTTAAACAGAAGGCTATTTTTTTCCGTTTAATGTTCAGTTTTGCTTAGTTTTAATTAAAACCATTGTCTTTGTGACAAAACACAGATGGAACCTGATTTCACTGTATTTTTCCACCTAATAAACCACTGGGGTTGCTTTGGAAATGTCCTATGTGTGCTAAACTGTTTGGATTGAACATGTCTAGTAACAGACTGCATTGTAAGGGCCGCTAGTGTCAATTATTTAGCAGCCCGTTGTTTCTATGTTATCGGTGGCCTGGGGTGTTGTTCGTACATGAAAACTGGATTAAGGCTCGATTTTCGGACGACAGCGGGTGGGGACAGCCTCGCGTGATTGAGTCGAAGAAGTATATCTTACTTTTCTGCGGAGACTTCGTTTGTACGTCAAAGTGTCTCCGAGGAAAGCGAAGCCGAACAAAATCCACCACCTCTGTTTACTGTTTTGCGCATGCTCAGACTGCGTTCCCTGTCTTATTAATTTTTAATGGAAAATGGCTGCGTTCCTCATCCAAACCTCAGGAGCCGAGAAATGAAACGCTAACGGTGTCTCGTCGTCGCTTCACTCGCTGTCATTCGATGAGGTGAACAGTCGTTGGTAAGCCAACGTCCTGTGGTACGAAAAAAAAAACAACAAAAAAACTGGAGAATGGACCAACTCACGTTTTGAGGGATGAAAGATCATTTTTCTCCTTAACCCTTTCCGCTCCGAGATCTGCGAACAATCGAGGTACAGTAACCTCGGCTAAAAGGCTGGCGGTCGGGCTTTCTTGCTGGTAATTACACAGCTTAAATGTTGTGATCTAAATAGAATGAAGGGGCACTTTTAGCAGTTCGGTCGAGGTTGAAATGTTTCCACGTTTAAACCGTTATTCGGGGCCAGAGCGTGGCTAAACGTAGCCATTAGTGTTAACGTTAAACGGGGTAACGGAGGTTTTTGTTGTCTGGACACAAAGATGCTGAATCCATGTGCATTATTTTGTGAATGGATATTACTACAGACGGTGTAGTTTAAGTCCACACCTCTCGTTCGTGTCTCTGCTGCAGGAAAGAGAAGACATTAATCTGCTGCAGTCTATCCTTTAGCTTTTTTAAAGTGTTTGTAGCCTGTTTCTGTCTCTCTTTTTTCAAATCCCAGCTCTGTAAACTGACGCTGGATAAACAGAAAAATGGTAAATATATGTGTATTTGCCATGGTATTTGGGTTGTAGACGCTCGTCAAGAAAGGGTTTGTTGTTTCCTCAGCATAGAAGACTTGCCCAAAGGCACTACAACCGCACTTACCTTGTTCTTAAGGTAAATGGACTGGGTTTGTTTGACAGAAGGCTTTTTAAAAGGGACACTGCTGGCATACCATAAGTGGTGCTCTTGTTTAAAATGCTAAAAGCATCACGCAATGCTTTTATCAGTAATAATCCAATGAAAACAGATCAAATGTTGGTTGGGGGAAGTTTGTTATCTTGTCGAATGATTTCACATCTAATACATCTACAGATGAGTAATAAATAACGTTGATATTAAAACAACTCACAACTTCTGAGTTGAAATAACTAAAGTACGGCCGTTCACTTTATTTGGTTAAATAAATCAATATTTGGTTAAATGATTTAAATGGCAAAGAACTAATTGCACTTTTAGACATGTTTAGGTGTCCCCTTTTTGAATATCTTTCTAAGAACCAGGAGGGATGTCAGTACAAAGGGCTAAAAGGCACATTTTCTGCAATGAATTATACATGAGGCTTTCAGAGTGTTCTGTCAAGAATTGGGAATGGGGAAAAAAATTATTTTCTCAATGAAAAATGCAAGCCAAAATTCTGCCATGCAAATAAGATGAAAAGGAAAACAAACAAGACTAATATCCTATGCTGCCTCTTTTTTATTTGATTTAATATGACAACAAATCACAGTGATTATTATTTTCGTTATCAATTCACTATGTTTTTCATTGGATTGTTGAGTCAGTGAAGGAAAATTGTAGGTGCACCAGACTGAAGAGAGGGGACACCATCTGTGTTCAACATGTCATGGGTAACACACACGTCTGTAAGAAAAAAGTTTTTTATTTAAGCTTTAGACTCCTTGGTTATACCACCGTTTCAGTTTTAAAACATTTTGGAGGTATATCCTATTTTTATTTGCCTCCTTCTGTAGTATGCAGTACAGAGCAACTTCCATAAGTTGCTCCCATCAGAATTCATCTTATTTTATACCCAATTTTTGTAGTTCAGGATTGTGAGGGTCCAGGGTGTAACACCCTTTAATGAAGGATGGCAGCCAAGCCTCAGTCGCAAGTACCTGGAAGACAGAAAGAGCTTTTGCCTGAAGCACCATACATTATTCCATTACTTCTTCCCAGCTCTTCTGTCTCTGCTGATGGAAAACGTCCCCACAGGATGATGCTGCCACCGCCGAGCTTCACTGTGAGGGTAGTGTTCTTGGATTGACGGGAAGTGCTGAGTTTGCGCCAGATATTTTTGATGGCCAAATACTCTGGTTTGTCTTCTATATTATCTCCCTCTTTAATAATGGATTAAATGGTGCTCTGTTGATTGAAAAAAGAAAAGAAAAAAAAAAACTTTTTTGCCTGTCTGAATTTTTCCACAACTGTATACCTGACGTGTTTGGAGAGTTCTTTTGTTTCGAGGTGTCACTAGTTTGGCCCTTTTGATCGGTGGTGTTTCGGACTCTTGATCTTTTCGAACAGGCTTGTGTGTACTGTGATCATGTGACACAAAGGTGGACCTTATCTGCTTGTGAGACTTAGTTAATTAGTTTGTTATTAGTTTATCATGTATAGATTATTATTACCTTATACATTAATTTAATTATGTATGACCAGATTAGGTTCCATTTAGACATGACTGACTTTAAGCTTGCTGTATGTGATAACACATTATTTCCGACCCCCAGCCGAAGATGATGCGCCAGGTGACAAACACTGACTTCTGCATGAGTAGCAGGCCTTCATGCCTCGCAGAAGATGGCCACCACCCCGCCGCCCACTTTGACCTGTGCACCTCACAGTCCAACAAGTTCTACCCTCCGCCCCCTCCAACGTCCCTCCAGATGACACTGGCTCCCATGGCGTTACCCACCCAGAGCCACAAGCCCATGGTGTGTCAGAGACAGGACGTTCTCGGGGGGGACCTGCGCACGCCCGGGAAAATACCAGGCATGAAAGGCACCGAGCAGGTCCCCGACGATGCAAAGAAAAAAAGCAAGGGCGTCGGGAAGTCGGGCAGAAGGGGGCGGCCTTTGGGAACCACCAAGCTAGCTGGATACAGAACCAGCACCGGGCGACCGCTGGGCACGACCAGAGCCGCCGGGTTCAAGACCAGTCCAGGGAGGCCACTGGGCACAACCAGGGCCGCAGGATACAAAGTCAGCCCTGGACGGCCACCTGGCAGCATTAAAGGACTTTCTCGGCTCAACAAACTAGCTTACAGTAGCACCTGCAGTGGAGCAGCTTTCCCCTATCCACTGCCACATAAAGACATCCTCTGTGAACCTCCCTGCAAAGAGAAGACGACTAATGAGTAATAACACTGCACTGTTTCTACTTCACCCTTAACTGCTGGAATAATAAACACGGGCAGGTTTCCTGCTGTACACTAGGGGCGATTGTAATGTTTTTCCAATGTCATGCGAGGTTGAGGGGGGATTTTTTTAACCTTTGTGTTGTCATTTGTGTGCCTGCCATCTGATATAATTCCAACGAGTTTTTCAGTGCTTTTGCTGGAGACCTGTGGTGTTTTCACAGTTTTAATACACAAAGCTGTGCTTCTTGGTTTAAAAAAAAAAAAAAAGTGTTGAGCTGAAAGATTTACTCAAACAACTGCAGTAGCGGCCGCATTTCAAACATTACATGTAGCATTTAATACCAATGAATCATTCATTATACGATATTATTTACTTTTTAAGTGTTGATGACAAAGAAGACTGAAACGATTGGTGGCCAATATCAAGTGAGAACCTTTCACTGAACAAGAAGAAAATCCATCCACTCTTTTATTTGCTATACTATTCCTTATTCCTTAATCATTTTCACACTTACTGTTCAGACTAAGGCATCTTTACAATGCCAACTGTTAGAATGAAATATGGCTAATCTAAACTTGTAACAGTTTAAATGCACATGTACTTTAATGGATGAATATGATGCTTTTTTTTATTGATAAGGGATCATTATCGTAGAGTAATTTACTCTCAGCACCAAAAGCAAGCACTTCTTTAAATGTTCTGGTTTTAGTAAACAGTGATACAAACAGGATTAAGGGTCAAACAATTAAATGAAAAATTGTATGTAAATGCTCTGACCAGAAAAAGTCATGTTGAGTTATGTTTTAATAAGACTTTCTTTTGTACTGAATTTCTTTTTTCTTTCAACCATATTTTTGAGGCATCCTTAGCTTGTCAGTTTCCATACCGCTGATTAAAGTTTGGAGTTTCTGAATTGCTAAAATAATGTCAGTTTATTCCATTGTCTTCATTTTAGCAATGGCAATGCCCCCATACGTCTTTGTTTATTTTTATTCATGTATATGTCTGGGGTATTTTTAGGTACATTTTCATAACTTTGTCAAACATTGGAAGTGTTGGGAAACCAGTGTTTTTGTGACATGCTAAAGTCAAATCATTTAGAAATGAAGAGAGTCATTAGTTATATGGGTTTAATATCTGTTATTTCAAACATGTAATGCTCTGTAAATACAGTACAGATCACATATAGTCAAATATATCCTTGGATAACCTATTCAAGTTACTTCATTTAGCTGGCTCGATTTGTTTTGTTTTTTGTACAACTTTACATATTAAGAGATGTTTCATTTTTTGCATTGTCCTTAAAAAAAATTAACTGCAATTCAAAAAATTGAGAAATATGGCTTAATTTAGTTACTTTTGTTAGACACGATCTAAAATGGTTACATTTGGTGCAATAATATGTTATTTGGATTGTAAGCTACTGTGGAAACTTTGATACTATCACCTTATTTTTAAATGGTTGCATTTTTAAAAATTTGCCTCGAAGTTCTTTTGGTTTGAAATTTTGAGTTGTATAAACAAACATGGTGAAAAATGACACTTGCGTATATCTTTTGAACCCTACTTAACCAAAGACTGAATGAACAAATACATCTCCACTGTTTGTGTCATAATCGCTTCAGTATCTCACAAACTAACTTAATCATAAGCAGTACTCTGTAAAAAGAAAAAAATCACTCACAGATAGATATTTCTTAAACGATGCTGTTGAATCGGCTTAAACCTTCAAATGGTTCGATCTGATGCTTAAAGAATCCAAATTTCAGTTTTACAAATGCATTCTGAACTTCTCTAAACTCACGACGTGAACTTCCTTTTATTTGATTGTTTGATTGTTTTTATATCCGTCTTTTATTCTGTTTTGAAAGTAGTATCCTTTTTATATGAATGCCTATGTAGCCATGTTTGATATTTAACAGATACTTTTTTGTCGAGGTGGTGGCTAACGTGGTTACCGGTTGTCTCTCAATATGTTTTTTTTTTTTCTTTACAGTGTTTGTGTCAGAATGGTTATGAAGTTGCTTGTTTGTAATCTTAATTGGATAAACACACATGCAGGCTATATGCTAGTTAGTGTTTTTCCACTGCAGATATTTTGGTATGACACAGTACAGAAATAAGAAACAACTACATTTACGATGGCTGTTGCACTGTCTGGTTCCCTCACAAGCTTTTTCTACCACTTGTATTGTGAATCAGCATCCATATGCACCATTTGTCTTTTCACTTCTACGGTGAAGGCAGCTTCTGTTTGGCTCGCATGATGCAATCCAGTGAGCATTTCTGACCGTGAAGCTCTCGCTCGTGTGTCTACATCATGGACTAATTCAAATTAGTTGTGCACTTAAAATCTCCTTTTTCTTTTGCCAAACAAAAATAAGTTTACTCAGCTAAACGTATAAGATCTTTTGGGTTTTGTTAAAGCTGTTAAAGCAAAAATAACCCATGAACAATTACACAGAAACACCAAAATTTTATGTGCGATGTGAAAGTTGAGACATCTTGATAAGTAATAATTCAATTTAATTTTAGGTTTCTTGAACGGAACACATTTGCGGCCTCTTTTTGACAGTCACCATAAGCTCACTGTCCAGGGATGTTTAAAATATGGAAAGCATCATATTTTAAACAGGTTTCAGCTCTTTAGAAAGAGTTATACAGAGGCAGGAAAGATTGATCTCTACCTGGCATCTGATCATGTTGAGAAATGTGTAAATGTTGCTCAAGACGAAATGCCAAGTTTCAGTTTGGAAATCATGTAGTCCGTTATCGAATGTTTAAGGTGTAAAGATTTATCCCGGACTTCACAGCTTAATATAAAGAATGGATTCCTGTGTTGTTTAGAACAGATTAGTTATGAATGATTAAATACAAGGTAATGGAATATGGACGATTAAATGACCCAACACCGTAAATTTAATTTGACATTTCCTTAACGTGGTTTTGGTTATTCTGTAGGATGCACTGCTAATGCTAAGACAATGAGATGCATCTGAGGAGGACATTGTTGGGAAGATGTGAATGATAGGATAATTATTTAAACCGGTCACAATTCTACCTTTTTCTTATCGTTCTCTGCCCTGTTTGTCTGTCACCACCATCAGCATTACCTCACATTTGTGCTTTGAGAAGTGAAGCCTGGTTAGTCCTGACGAGTGACTGATGAAGCCTGTAAACCTTTGTATAATTCCCATTTTATTCTTGCATGATTGTTGTGGAATGTTCAAAAGTTGTGTAATAAACATGAAAGTAACTGTCTAATGGCACGTCTTCTTCATAAGTAAGAATTATGAGTAATTAAGTGTGAAACTAAAAAATATTTCTAATCATGTTGACACATATACAAAGATTTCTCCACATCCTATATTATTCATTAGTCAACTAACTGAACTTTTAAAGATGAAAAAATCAGTAGATGACTTGAAAAATGCTAAACTTAAGCATTTTTGCCTTTTTACATCATATTGTGGTTTGTGAATGTACAGTCATGGCCAAAAGTAATGAGAATGACACAAATATTATATTTTCACATGATCTGCTGCCCTCTGGTTTTCATGTGTGTATGTCAGATGTCATCACATACAGAAATACAATCAATGCTTGAATTTTGTAAGAATTCCTAGGTTTTCGTTTTTCCACCCGTCCCTTGATGATTGACCATTAGTTTTCAATGGGATTAAGATCAGGGGAGTTTCCAGCCCATGGACCCAAAATCTCTATGTTTTGTTCCTTAAGCCAGTTAGATATCACCTTTGCTTTATGGCAAGGTGCTCCATCATGCTGGAAAAGGCATTGTTCATCACCAAACTGCATTTGGACAGTTAGGAGAAGTTGCTGTCGGAGGACATTCTGGTACCATTCTTTATTCATGGCTGTGTTTTTAGGTAAAACTGTGAGAGAGCCGACTCCCTTGGCTGAGAGGCAACCCCACACATGAATGGTTTCAGGATGCTTTACAGTTGGCATGAGACAAGACTGGTGGTAGCGCTCACCTCATCTTCTCCGAACAAGCCGTTTTCCAGATGTCCCAAACAACTGGAAAGGGGATTCATCAGAGAAAATGACTTTACCCCAGTCCTCTGCAGTCCACCCCCTGTACCTTTTGCAGAATATCAGTCTGTCCCTGATGTTTTTCCTGGAGAGAAGTGGCTTCTTTGCTGCCCTCCTTGAGACCAGGCCTTGCTCCAGGAGTCTCGGCCTCACAGTGCGTGCAGATGCACTCACACCTGCCTGCTGCCATTCCTGAGCTAGCTCTGAACTGCCGGTAGCCTGATCCCGCAGATAAAACACTTTTAAGAGATGGTCCTGGCGCTTGCTGGTCTTTCTTGGGCGCCCTGGAGCCATTTTGGCAACAATGACGTTGAAATGTGTTTTTGGGGATAAAGTTAATTTTCTAGGCAAATATTGACTTTGCAATTAATTGCTGTTATGCTGAACACTCTTTTTAACATTCTGGAGTATATGCAAATTACCGTTATAAAAACTGAAGCAGTAGACTTTGTAAATATTAACATTTGAATCATTCTCAAAACTTTTGGCCATGACTGTATAAAGACATAAATACAAAAACAAGCATCTTTTTTTACAGTGACAAAGAAAAATATATTTCTGGAATAGTATGAGCTATATCACACGATTTTAGAAGAAACTTGATCATTATTAGCACCTACTTGTTTTTTTAGTTGTCAGATCATTTTTTATGAGTATTTCTAATGTTATTTATATTAACAAACTTTAAATGAATCCACAAAAACTTATCATCAACAATCATTACAAGAAGTCATGGGATGTATATCCTTATTAAGCTTAGAGGACTAAAAATAGTTTATCTAAAGTACTAGTTAATTTGTAATTTATATGAAGAAGATTAGAATATTAAATACAATTGAGCATCCAGGATAGAGAGGCTGCGTGAACCTGGTATGGACTTCATGGAGGAGAGTAAAGGTTTGAGAGACTGTGGAAAGGCAGAGTACCTGCACTATAATCCAAATACACTCCCAGTATTGGGAACTTTTGGCCAGAGATGGGAGAAAAGATGTTGTTATGGATGGAAATATATCCCGTGGTTGAACATTTCAAGGCCCATAATTTATCATTTAGTCTTAGTCCCTATTCCTCTTTGCTTCCAGTGCGACTGATCTCCTTGTACGTCACTGTGACTAAAACTTTCACCTCCCAGCGGTAACGTCCAGCCAGTCACTGTCTACTGTGGACATGCAACAAATCTGCCTGGGTGATATGAATGTGACTTGTTTTCTGATTGTAATTTAGCTTTTATTTGTCTTGGCCACTCAGTGACATGCAGGGATTTGTTGTATTTGGATCCAGTGTAATTTGACAAGAACATTTTTAAAAAATCATCTCTACTTTAGAGTTCTTCTTGACTCCGCAAAACATCTACTCATTTCACTGCACCTGAAATTTTGGAGCATCTATTACTCAGTAAATTAAACTTCTCCTGAAGTTCTTTAACCCGATGTATCTCAGTCTCAGATGTTGGGATATTATCTTCTCTTTCACTACCGAACTCTTTATCTCAATCAGATGGATCAAATTGTTAAAAAAGGTCTCCACTCTCATACAATTTCATCAGCGGACACATTGATGGCTCTCAACTCCTGTTTAAGCATTATCACATCTTTCTCTCTTTCTTTTAGACTCCCTCAAAAAAATTTTTTTACCTACATCAAGGCCTTTCTGCTGTATCTCTCTTTCTGTTTGGGTCAAGTATACCATGGCCTTTATTATCATTTATAGAGCTGAGATAACATAGGCACTTCTGATCAGTATGGCAGAAAATCATCATTGCATTATCGTGGTAATGACAGATGTGCTCCTGAAGGTGTAAAGTGGCTTTGATAAGATGGTTTTATTTTGTATTGAGGTTGAAGGGTTTGCTCATAGTAAGAGGCCATACACATCAGACAGCTTCCTCCCAACACAGAAATCACAGGCCTCATCTCCACGTCATAGGAAGGATCATACGAAGATGCTTGTTCCTCAGTTTTCTTTAGTTCTTCTACAAACTCTGCTAACAGGCTGATTTTAATCAGGACAGGTTTTGGTGTGGAACTCTGAGGACACTGAGGGCAGCTGTGTGTTTTCTTGTCTTCATCTCACCAGTTTTTAATAGTAATAGCAGTAGTTGTGACTGCAGGGAATAGTGATCGGATCATTGAGTAAACTGATGAGATAAAAGAGTCCACATTTTCTGGTTGCATTCTCACTTACATTCCCACTGAATGGACTCTGAACAGAGTGGTGGGATAACAGGTTTCTTTATTACAGAAAAAAAGTGATTTTTACAGGCACAATTTGATTTACATACATAAACAAAGTACATTTGATTATCTTTTTAAATTGTTTTTAAATATGACAGAAAACACACACTGGGTTCCAATATTTCTCGCAATTATGTTTAAAATAATATTGTTTAAAAAATATGCAGAAATGTGACTTAAGAGCTATAATGTGTGTATTTGAGCTGTTTTCAGAGGCATTTAGACATTCTGCTAAATACCAAGGGTAAACAGAGTATACCATATCTAACAGTGCAGATTTATATTCCAGCAATAATTGCCACTTTTTCAGACTGATAATCAGGTAATATGCATTTTCTTTAATGAATTCACTTAATCTAATCTATAATAATAGATTTTCCCCCTTCTTCAAAAACAGTTTCAAGAAGAATTAAACAGGACTTTTTTCAACCGGAAGCGGAATTCAGCTGTGTTTCATTTATTTTCTTCCGCTTGAAACAGGAATTCATTCTTTCCTAAGGACTAGAAAACAACATTGCCTCACATCTCAACATGCCATGACAACCTTACGTTTGTCTCTTTTGATTTTATTTGACAAGAAATCATGACGGGGACTATTCTTAAACTAAACCTAACTGTTGTGGTATTGTTTTTAATACGGAGCACTAACGTATTAGGTTTTTCGTCAGTGAGAGCAGAAGGTAGGAGGATGACAGATGCTAGTTAGCCAAACAGTGCATAGCTGTTGTTAGCTAGTGCTGCTGCCTGGTATTTAGGTTAATAATTAAATCTGTTACTATTATAGCATATTGTTTTAAGGTATATTTTCTGTCTTCGCAAAGTTTGGCTTAATATTGGTCTTATAGCTCTTTGCCATAAACTCTTCAAGACAGTTCAGGTAGCAAGGTTTTTTGATAAGCTAACGGTTTCATTGACATGCAATGATTAAGAAAAAAGATTAAATTCGACAAATAGTTGATTTCAATATAAAGGATGAGCTATCAGATCTTGTTAAAAAGACAGGAGTTAGCTCACGTTGAAAATACCCGATGAGCGACAGCAGTCTCACGTGAAGCGATTGTTCGATAATCACCTCCATAAACAAAAATAAAAAACGTTCATCGTTCCAGCACAATAGAAGCTGTAATTTTTTAGATCACGCAACAATCATCATCATGAAATTCAAGACTTATGATTGTCATCTGAATATTTTTGTGTGAGCAGTCTTTTCCGTTGCAAATTAAAAACACAACCTCTTTTGGTGTATAATTTCGGTATGACTTTGTAGTTCCAGCTAAGGCTTTATATCATAAATTAAAATGGCCTGCTGTCAAAAAAATAGATTGATTATGTTCACCTTTTCATTTTATACAGATGAATGGAAACAATTCTAAGAATTGCAATATTAGTCATGAAACAATTACGGTCAAGCCATTATGACTGCACTTAACCAATAATAAATTCAAAGGAATAAATATTTGATGATAAAACACAAAGAAATAATAAAATCAACTTTCCAAGAAATTACATACATAAAAGAGACTAAACAAAATCAATAAAATGTATAACAGCAAGATTTATATTATAACAGAAAGGCGATATGGAAATATAAAATGAATACACGCATAAGTGGATATATTTGAACGTCCATTCCTTTGGTTTATATTTGTTATTCTATTATATAAGTTTCTGATAGTCTTTCAGAAGACAGCCATTAAAGAGAAAAAGATACACTGACTTTTTCTACCTGGTATTTTTCTTTCAGAGAGTGATGTGCCCTCTGAGCTCTTGCAGTCAGAAGATGCAGTGCCTGACTTGGAGAACAATCCCAAGTTTATAGAGTCTGAAGACCTGGACTCTGTTCCAAAGAGGCAGTTCAAAACGGCAGAGATTGCAGATGCTGTGATGGGGACTGAAACGCCAATCAGCCCGTCAGACATTGAGTCACTTTTTCCCAAGAATGTGAAGGACTTCCAGTCCGGCTTCTCTCCGCCTTGTGATGAGAGCAGCGCCCAGTCCATCTCACCGGCTGTGGCTGCTGATGGGACATCAAAGGAGGAGAAGGGACCAGAATCATCACAGCAGGTCACTCCCTAGAATTGCACCACATTAGTGAGAGCTTTGAACATTGCAGCCAATAGGATGGAAGGGAAAACAGGATATTACTATATCAGATTGAAATTTTCTTAGTAAATAATGTGGAATTTAGCCATACCAGAGTCTGATTTTGTGAACCAAAGCTAACGCGGTAAGGAGTAAAGCAGTTGACGACTATTTTGTTGTTCACCTCCAGGTCAGTCTTGACATGGTGCTTGCTGACATCACTATAACCAAGGAGCAGAACGTAACAGAGAACGCCAAGACTTACAAGGTAAACTGTGACAAGAGGAACCTCACAGGAATGGACAACTTCACTGTGCACGTCCTCAACGCTTCACAGGTATTAGTTTGTATTTTAATTTTAATTTACGACCATTCCTCAATGCTTGCACCTTGAATTATATTTCTCAAAGCTTTTAGAATTATGTGCTTCTCCATTTTTTAAGGATTAGAAAATAAAATCCTTTCATTGTCATTTTGGCATTCCATTCCTGTAATTACGTATGCATTTGTTGTTTTGTTTTGTGATTATGTTATGTTATGCTCTTTAGAGTTATCAGCCATTTTAACAGTTTCCTTTCATTTCCCGTCAAGACATCAAATTTAATTGAGATGGAGACAGAAATGGAGGACATTGTAGTCGTGATATAGCTGCATTATTTAGTCATTTAAAATGCTGATGATCACCAAAATAATTAAGTTGGACGTTTGTTGTAGCTGCGTTTTTTATTTTTCATGACTAGTAGAGTCATGTGACTTCCTGGTCAATCACTGATTGGCAATCTGTAACTCAGATTTTGGAACCCTGGCACAGAAGGTGCTGAAAAGGTAACCTAGGAGACAACAGCCTCTAATGAAAATGTAAAAAAAAAAAGATCGACTTCTCTACAACTGGTGATGGTGTATTTTATTTTTAAAAAACAGAGTTTAAGAAGCCCTTTCTGAAGAAAATATGAGCAAGAATCTGAAATTGAAAAAGAAAATTTCCTGTAAAAAGCTTTAGCTTTTGTCATCTTTTTACCAACTGATTCACCAAACACATACAGATAGATTTTGGTGTAGATCCCGAATGACTTTGTGTTAAAAAGAGATATAGCTCAACACCTTGGGGAGTTTGTGTTCTGTTCAAAATAGTAGTAACACCAGGTCATGATTCTAAGACTACTTTAATGAGCAATGTCTGTTTTTCTGTTCAATGGGCAAATATCTTAAGCTGTCTCTTGCATGTTCCTCCCTTCTATTAGGACCTGATGGAGTTCCTCAATGCTAACAGTACAGAGTGTTCTGTGGTGCTGTTCTTCACGTCCTGGTGCCAGTTCTCAGCCAGCCTGGCACCTCACTTTAATGCCCTGCCCCGTGTTTTTCCCAGCATGCATTTTCTGGCTTTAGATGCCTCACAGCACAGCAGGCGAGTCAAAAAACACTCTTCTACATTTTTTCTGCTTATTGAACAAGTGGTCAAACTTGCTTCTCAACTTGTAATTTTAGGACCAAAAAGAAAGATGAATAACTTAAGTGAAAAATCACTATGATCATTTGTCTTATCCTGTGCCATGTCATTTCATCCACCAGTCTCTCCACAAGGTTTGGAACTGTAGCAGTTCCAAACATCCTGCTGTTTCAGGGAGCCAAGCCCATGGCCCGCTTTAACCACACCGACAGAACGCTGGAGACGCTCACGTCCTTCATCAGTAACCAGACAGGTACACATACAATATATAGATATAGATGGATCACTTGCTAGTGTTCTTGTGTTTCTCTGTTAGTTTCGATTGCCAAACAAGTCTGAATGTATGTATGAATTTCTGCCCGTCCCAGGGTTTGAAGCTGACCCGAACAGAAAAGTTACAGACGAAGACCGCTTGGGCCCTCTCCCCAGCGTCCCTGTGAAGGGTATCGACTGGCTGCTGGTCTTCTCCATCCTTTTCATCACCGGCTTCTCACTGTACGCCATCCTGCGCGCAGACAACATCCGCTGGCTAATACCTGGACAGGAGCATGAGCATCAGGACTGAGAGCACACAGACTACTAACCAAGAAAGATGTAACAGTTTTGCGTTCTTAGACGTTTGTAATTTACTCTTGTTTAGATGTTTGTTTGAAATAAAACATTTGAACAGTCTGGGATTCTCTTTAAAAATTCATGATTTGTGAAGTTTAAGAGGACTGTTTATTTTGTTGGAGAAGAGCTTGCTGTTTATTCGTTGCCTGTTAGTAGACAGCACAATTGTGAAGTTCGAAGTACAAATATGGAGGATCACATGGACTAAAGGCTGTGGAGACAGGTTAATCGGTCACACATTCACTGGGACAGCACAATTTTGCAGCCCTCAACACGATGAATGAGCTTCGTTAATAGGATTACTCCACACAGTAGAAGTGTATCTGTTGCTTCACCCACTGTTAACTAAGGTTTTGTGTTTCATAGTTATTTACAGTACTGTGATTTGCATACAGGATCCTGCTTCTTCAAACTTTGAATATAGTCAGTCACCCCCAAGGCAGTTTCAAGTTTTACAACATGAATGATGATTTCTGCATTACGGACATCTATTCACACTTCAATGGATTACCATAGAAATGGCTAATTTCTGACACAGATAGCTAGCAGAGCGTTCGGTAAAACACTTCTTGGTTAAAAAAAAAAATTATTCTCTTCACGTTGACCTCTTCGAATACCTTACCGTGGGCGGGAATGTTTTTTTATTTTTTTTATCAGGCAGTGAGCTAAACACCTATGGCTGAGCAGAGCAGGTTAGCAGGGGGACACAGAGACGAACAGGTTAGTGGGGAACGTAGCCAGCTGACCAAAGACAGGTTATGTTTGGGTTAATTTTTAGCCTTAGGACGGCCAGCTCATGGCCCTGTAGCCGTTTGCCCCGGCTGAACACCTTAACAGGACCTCTGCTCTCCAGGAGCCACTCGTCTAAAATGGTGAGTACCGCCGTAGACAGTCGGACATGTCAGCACTAACATGCTTAACAATTAGATTAGCTTGAATCTAATTGAAATGTTTTCTTTGCATGGGATAAACCGGGCTCTGACAGTGTAGATGGGGACACGACCGTTAGCGACAGCCACGCTGACATCGTTACGTGAGAGAAGTTAGCCTTTAATGTAAAAATTTAAATTTAAAGTCATGGCTTTTTCAGTTAACTTTCTGTATAGTCAACACGTATTACATTTTTTTTTAATTGAACGTGTTGCTGTTAATTATGACTAAGAATACATTTTACATTAATTAATCTGCATTTACAAACAATTAATTAGATTGGGTATTTTTGTCTTTTTAAATGAAATTATCAAGAATTCATACTTATTTTCAATAAAAAATGTTAAGACCTCACACTGGCAGAATTGTGTTTGGCAGAACAATTGAAGTTAAGGTTTGTTTAGTCTAGAGTCGGTAGATTTGTTATTATCTGGTGCAGCACCGCCACCCTTCGGACGGAGAGCCAACTGCATTTGGGTAATTTAGCCAAAGTGTTTTATCTAAATGGGGATTATTTGTTGTCTCCCAGTCGTCAGACTCCCACTGGCTCTCCCCTGCAGACCGGGACCAGCTAGTGATGGAGCTCAGGGCCACCGGATGGATGGAGGTGGAGGATCGTGATGCTATCTTCAAGGAGCTGCACTTTAAAACCTTTAATCAGGTTTGTTTAATTTTGCATAAAGCATATGTTGGACCTTTGTGACTTTTCCAAAATATACATATATACACATTTATGCATATGCTAGTCATAGAACACCATTTACTTATTGCAGGGTTTGGTAGACTGAACCTTTTACTGTTCAAGTTGTGAGGTCCCCAAGCAAAAAGCACCCGAGGGGAGGCCTGCTTCTATAAAAGGTGAAATAACTAGTTTTAGGTATCATCCATTTCTCATTATAAACAATATCTGTGCAGTTCATAAGAAGGGAATCACAACTTTTGATAAAAGAAGTGCAGATTTGACTTCACAGACTTATATTTTCTGTAGGCTGTTTATGTAACATTTTATGTTTTTTCTTACTTTTCGTTGTTGTGGAAAGCTTTTGGTCTTCAGTCAGATGTTGTACTTTGACTGAAGGTTTTAATGACTTACTTGCTTAATTACTGGTATTTTTTTTCAGAACATGATCCAATTTATCCATAGAATAGCTTTTAACATGTTTTCGATACAAACAGCTGAATAGAACTTTTTCTATTGTAGAATCATTTGAAGTCAACACAATTAGAATGAATTATTTTAACCTGAGAACGGTGTCTGGTTTGAAATTCAAACAAACAGCTAATCTCAGAGTGCTATTTCAGTCTAAACAAATATATTCAGTCATAACTCAGTTGTTTGTACGCAGCTTTAATCTGATCTGGATAGCTGAAGGTCCCAACATGGCCCCTTTACCCAACACATGCAATCTGCGTGCATTGTTTGCTTGTTATCAATGCCTTCAGATACTTCCAACTCACCAAAGACAAAATGTGATGGCAGTTAATCCAGATAGATTTATCAATCCACACATAATCCTGAATAAGGTTGTTTTGGACTGTAACCTTTTCTGGGTCCTACCAGCAAGAGCAAACTAGACAGTGCATCACCAGTCCGTCATTACGGCAGACAGCCAAAAAATAAAGGCTCACTTGGACCTGCAGTCAACTTTTTACACGTGGTCAAGCTGTGGGAGGACACTAGCACAGTTCAAGAAAACCCACTCTGGCACACAGTGAACATTTACGGTACACTCAGATTATTCTAAGCCGTTCAACACGTTTGATCAACTTGTTGTTCTTCAGTGCTAACCACTGTGTAACGGTGTGCCTGGATCTGACCGTACCCACAGAATGCATTGCTAGAAACTGAAAAAACTCTGATACTAAGCCTCCTATTGTATTTTTCATTAGCACAAATTGTGCTATAGGGATTTTTTGCTAATAATAATAGCTACAAATATGGTATTTCTGTAACATGACTGAACTCGGGATATAAGTAGGTCATTTTGTCATTGTGTTTTTCAAAAAGATACAAATAGTTTAACCACAAATGTTTTTTTTATTGTCAGAGAGTTCCTTAATTGAGATTGACTTCATCTCTGCTGCAAAGTCTTAATAGTTTTTGTTTTTTCCTGTCACTGGTATACAGCTTTACTTTCACTCAAGTAAGTTTCAATTAAGTAAACTGTAGTGTCTCAAGGCCACTTAGCGGACTTCCTCTAATCCTGCTGTTAGTTGTTTTAGCTGCTAAAGCAGTCTGTTTTTACACTTCCCAGTGTTTGAAGTCAGAGGGCGAACGCTGACCTCCCCCATCTGTACCTCCTGGCTCTAAAGGCTCTCCTCTTCCCCCAAAACGTCAGACTACATTACCCAGAGACAAGCCAGGCGGCCAGTTGGCAGCAATTAGGGTTTTGATCAGAATGATTTCTTTCACAAACAATCAAATTGGTTAAAATGTCTCATCTGGATCACAAACCACTAACAACCCCATCATTCTGTCTGGTAGATGGGCTTTGCTTTCCTTCTTTTTTTTCCTGCTTGTTGCATTTCTTGTCGCCTCCGTTCCCTATCTCTGCCCTTCAGCCTGTCCAACAGCATGTTAGTGGGAAATGAGTTCATGTTGTTTCAATTTTACATGCTGGCAACTCCCCAGTCTGTCTCTCTGCCCTCCTTTTTGCACTCTTTTATTCTTACTCCAGACACGCCACCGATTGCGTGATGTATTTTCACAACCTCTCTTACTCCTTTTTCATAGTCGTACTTAAAGGGCTTTTACTGGAGGGGAGGGAGATGAGGAGTGACGTGCTGGCTGATTTCCATTTGCCACTTATCTGCAAGTGATGGGCTTGAAGAAATCAGATCCTGAAGAGGTTATAATGACAATAACAAATCCACCATCTGTGTGTAAAAGCGTTTCCCCTTGTGGCCTGTAGGGGGAGGTAGAGCTGCACCCATTGCTTTTTGGAAACCCATGGCAGCAGTCTAAGAGCTACGCTCCTCTGCAAAAGAACTTAAATTAGGCATGAATAATACAGGTTATTTTAAGTTTATTTTTTGTAGATTGCAATGAGTGGAAAGTATTATGATGTCATAACCAGCTCAGTAAATTATCTGCAGCTTCTGTGTCCACAATGTGCTGTTAGCGGTGGTTTAGAAGTTACTGCGAGAAGTTACTGGGATTTTGTCTTTGTCAAGTCAAGAGGTCTTTTAGTTGGTCTGAGAGGTGGAATCCTCTTTCTGAAGTCACTCTGGTTAGGGCAAATCCCTGCAATCACATGTGGAAACATCACTGAGCGTGCTCGTCTGTTATACCATAAAAGGTGAGCTGTCTCTGCTCAACTGCTGTGATATGTTAGTTGAGGCTGACAACGATGGCATTCCTTCTTTCGCCACAAATATTCACTCGTGCAGCGATGAGAAAATCTTTAGAAAGCTGCATTTTTGAGAAGGAAAAATGGCTGGTTATTATTTCCAGTCCAACTTCCAAAGTCAACAAATCTTTTCTTAACTTAGGGAGAGCAACTTTTAACAGATCAATGCCAACATCCACAGCATACTATACCATTGTGATTTGTCTCTTAAGCCAAGTTGAATTGTTTGAATTTGCAAGGCTCATGTCAAACATGGGTAAACTCAGTGCTCCTTACCGGGGAAAAAAACACTATTTGATGGAAACGTGATACAGAAGGGAGAAAAGTTAAACTATCTATTTTTTCATTGATTTCAACCTTTTGTCTGTTATTCAGTTGTTCAAATTTCCTGATATTTTTCCATGTTTTTTGATTAACAACAAAAGCCTTGATTAATCATTATTTTTACTCCATATCTACACGTTCATTGATTTTAAAAGTTAGAAACTGCGAATCATTACTTAAGTTGACATTTTAATTTAAGTGAAACAAATTTACATTTTTTTCGCACTATGCACTTAAAGGGCTCATTAGATCCGAACCATATCAGCAGTAGAGGGTGTTAAATAGAATGACTGTTTGATGTGGTGTAATGACTGTCCTCATTCAAGTGCTACCATCCCTTCATAATCAAACATGTAGTAGCAATATTATACTTCAAGATTTGCTTATTTGGTTTACATAGTGGGTGTGATGATGGTGTTGTGGTTACTAAAGTCACCTCCGAGCAAGAGGGTTCTCAGTGAAATTTGCATTTTGTCACTAGGCATGTATGGGGTGTTTTTTTTTCCAGTTCAGCAGCTTTCACACGTGGGTCCAAAGCTTGAATGTTAAGTTAACTGTTGACTCTAAACTGACCATTGGAATGTGAGCGTGCCTGGTTGTTTGCTTACTGTGGGCAATGGACTGGAGACCTGTCTGTGGCGCGCTCAGCTACCTGCTGGACCTTTAGCATTATGAAGCAGCCATAGGAAATACGTGTATGAATTTAACCTGCTGTTGCCTGAATGCTGTTTGTAAAAAAAAAAAATTTCAAGAATGAAAAACACAAAAGGAAAATGGTAAACACTCAAACTTGTTTTTACAAAAAAAATGAATGATGTCGCGGAAACAGTACTTCAGTTCAACGCAGACAAGAACTGTGTTACAAGCGGCACAGAACACTAGAGAAGTGGAGTGTTCCCCTGCTCAATTTGTGCTGTTCTTGGAGGCTGATGGTTCCCTCCCCCAATTTTATATTCAGCTGTGGCCCCTCTCTCTTCAAGATCTCACTCATGCCTCTGGCTCTCGTTAAGGGCCTTGGTCTGCTTGTGTTGAAAAAGTTGTCCTACAACTAAAACTGAGCCCCTGACTAGACCAAACTTGGAGCCATCCCCCTAATGCTTAACTTAAATGCCGATGGCTTATTGTTCTGACAGTGGACTCTTCATTGTAACTTTGCTTGTTTAGCGCCTGACCTATATGCCAGGTCCACCTCCTTTTGACAATCTTTTGTGTATTTCCAAAAAGTAATGTTTTTTTTTCTCGAGCCAACAGTTGGTGTAATCAATTATTGATTATATTTTCATTGATACTCCTGAATTAGAGCTCTGTTTGTTTTGGTTTTCTTGTATAAAAAAAAAATTGATGATGATGTTCTGACTTAAAAAAAAAAAAGAAATTCTGACCGCCAGCCAAATCTAATCTATACGTTGCTATGTTGACTTTTGTATAAATGCTAACTCCACGTAAGAGCTCCAACCATATCCCTTTCTTAGAGTTAGAGGCCAGTTAATCGGCTCAATGGTGTTCAGTTCCCACCTCTGTCTCCAAATGGAACTCTCCCTGGGAACCAGAAGCAGCCTTTATTCATCTTATTCTGTGAAAATGACTGGAGGGTGTGGCGCCCAAGTTGGAGTTGGTTAGATAATCTAGCTATCAGACCATGGGTAAGATAAGATGGCCCCTGACGTTTGCTGTCTTTTTAGGAGACCTGTGTCTTTTTAAGCCGTTGTTGGTAACCCTGCATTTAATGAGGGGTTTGCAGAAGTTGGCCTTTACCACATGGCTAAGCATTACATGACACTTGTTACATAAATAGGAGCTGACATGCTTGAAGAGTTGTTACACATGATATTAGTCACTGAATGTGTGTTCATAATGTGATGGAGTACATTTCCTTGTTGTTAGCGATCCAAAGTTCTACTCTTCGTACTTCCCAACTGTAAGAATGTTAATTTGAGAAGATTAATACCGTTGATGTTCCACATGCTCAGCAAACTCCTGCCTACTACATGAAAGAACTGTTGGGTTGGCAGCCTTGCTTCATCATTATTCGATACGCTGCTTTAAATTACATGTCAGTTTAGTGGGCAGCCTTGCCCCAGCCAGCTGGAAGCTTTTGAAGAGCTGTTTGAGAAAGAAGAGAAATGAGACGTAAGAGGTGTGGTCATAATCACGATCATGACAATCACCAGAACCACTACCATTCAAATCATGTTGCTCTTGCGTTTTGCTGCCGAGGAGCGGCGGGACACCAATGCGGGTGATGATGGGGCTGGCGGGGGTAATCATCGGGTAGTCGTGGCGGTGTGTAATGGAGGAAAACGGGCTTGTCTTCATGAGTTTGCGTATTCTGGCGAGGTTTGCTTGTGTGTGCATTTGCCCATGCCTAGAGTGTGAACGTGTCCGTCAGAGGCTAACAAGAGTAGGCACAATCTGCATGCACTTAGTCCTGGCAAGGCAGAGCAGGGATTTCTAAGCCCTTGGAGTGCGCGGCGGTGGAAAGCAGATCTGTAAATAACAGACACATGTGTTTGAAACCGAGTCCTGCATTTCAGCCCACAGCCACACTGAGAAGGAGAACACCACGTCGCTCCGATGTCAAATTGTCTCATCTAGTGTTGTATGACAATCATGCTGTAATAGCACAAAATGGCCACTCAAAAGTAGGGGGGTGGCAGGGAAACGGGCATAGCTGGGTTCTGCTGTTAGGTGTCTCTGATTATTTAAGATTGCAAGCCTGCGTAACGTCATGTCTAATTATCTGACCCTGACAGCTACAGCTTGCTGGGCTGCTGGCGTCAACGGCTGGCTGTGAGGACGGTGGGCCCAATGGCTGGCTGACCTGTTGGCTTCAAGAAGTGTGGCTCTTACAAAACAAATCGGTTTAACAAAGCAGTTTGAAAAAGGAGAGCCCCTTGACCCCTCCTGACTTATTGACGGGGGAGTGGAGGGGGCGGTTTTATTTTCTTTCTGGCCCAAGTGGAGAGTGTTGAGACGACCCAGGTGACAGACAGACAGACATTGCACTGACACTTTCCCTGCATTGCGTCCTGCCACTATTCTGCATGGAGGCACTGCCACCAGTAAGGGAAGGCTGATATAGGCCATGATTTGACTGAGATTTTCAAAATATGTGTTTGTTTATTTTGTGAACATTCAACTCCAACTAAGTTGTAGTTAGAGATTACTGCTAACTATGCGTCTTCTATCCAGAGATATTAAGTCTTTTCTCAGGATTTATGGTTCATGGGTGTCATGTTTTCTTTTTGCAGTTTCTCTTGAGAATTGTACAGTCTGATCCTTGGGTGAACTTCCCTCCTTGGAAGATTGAGATCTCTTCCATGTTTTCTGGTGATTGATAAGCAGCATTGTCGTAGATTAAAAGACTTGAAAGACGATGGAAACAGTCAAATAATCATTTTCAAATTTGTAGGTCGCAACAATTTCTTCAAGAGCATTGATTATGTATTTCATACATGGCACTTTGTTGAAATTCCTCTGAATGCTCCAGACCAGTGAATTGCTCAACCCTGTGGAAGTGTTATTATGCATTACTTTGGCAATGCTACATCTGTAAAAAAAAAAAAACTCACTTTCTGACAGAAGAAAAATCAAGCAATCCAACATCCAGTTTGCTCATCGCACAATACAGTTGTACAAAAATAGAAATAAGAAAGTCAGAATGTCATCTAGTAATGTTAACTTGTGAATGGTCAAAAATTGGAAAAGTCAGTACTGTATTGTTTGGAAGCATGCATGTGTACATACAGATGAAAAATGTAACCCTAGCCTTAAGAGTATATGCACTACCTGTGTTGAGAAGAGTTGCTGGTAATACATTTGCTGTTTTCCACATGTTCATATTTCATCTTTAAACGAGTTTTTGTGTGCAAGGACACATTATTGCCATATTTTTTTCTTTTGACTCGTACTTGCTGTACTGAAGTAATTTTTTTTGCTGTTGAGAAGTTGTGAAGACTTACTAATACTCAGGGGGGGGTTGGCCAACATTGGAAACTTGTACCTAGATTGTACCATAAATGGGATCGCATGTGTGTTTTCAAAGTCCCAGTCCAATCTTAAATCAGAACGTAGCTACAGCACTTGGAGAAAAGGAAGCTAGCTTTTGAGTAAGCATTAGGAAACTTTAAAGCCAAAAGGTCCAATATGCAAATGGGCTACAGCATTACAGATCCGGTACGACATTTGTATCCTGCATCTGGCCAGTAAGGGGTGAGTTTTTTTTTTTTAAGTAATAGAGTCCAGAGTGACATTTGGTAAAATTGTTGTGCTCTGTAATGGGACTGCATGCAGGAGCCCTCAGTTGTTAAAACGGAATCATTTTACCTGTCATTCAATGCTCCCCGGCAGCAGATTGACCTGAGTTCTGCCCTGAGAGAGAAGACATGTTTGGACAACACCTGACATGACAAGCTGCTCAGCCATCTCCATTAGAACCAATAAAAGCTGAGAAAAAGCAGACTGCCTTGCTCTCCAAATTGGTGCCTCTGGGGGTCAAGTTGCAGGAATATGTCAATTACTTAAATTGATCAGGAGGCCGTTTCCTTGATAACCAATTTAATCAAGCCGTGGATCATGTTACACGCATAGCCCTACTTGGAAACAAACAGGCCACCTTAGAACATGGCTACACTGCGCTGAGAAGACTAAACGCAATTTCCTTTGTGAAAGTAATTCTGTTTCGTCATGTCAGGTGGCGGATGGGGCCGCAGCCGTGGCTGTAAACAATGGTATTTCAGTTGATTTAATTAGCGAGAGAGGAAGCATTTAGGAGCTTAATTGAGATTGCAGTGGGAAATTGCTCTGAAATAGGTCTACCTGATTCCCCACTCTCCCCCCGCTCTCCTCCTCGCAACCAGTATGACGAGGATTTCTCCCTCCTCTTTGTAGATAATCAGAATTACCGTAATCACTCCGTGGATGGCCTGTGATTGGAAAAAACCACATACCAAACCCGAAATATGAGTATGAGTATTTATGTTTGCCTGAGTGTGTGTCAGTGTGTGTATCTGTGTATGCTTTCATGTCCTAACGTGGGTGTGGAAGTGTGCACACGGGCACAAAAAGATGTCTGTGCAGGGTTTCTACATGCACAGACATCATCTTGTGCTTCTCCGTGCCTCAGATGGCAGCATTGCTCTTTAATGCAACATGGTTTAGCTGATGTAGTCATTCATTATTTTGACTACTGAGAAATTCTCTTTTGGAACGACATTCACGAAGTCTGTTATAAAGCTGCAACAGTCAATAAAATGCATAAAGAAAATTCAGTTTTAAAACAGCTGAAATGTAAGAACAGGTTTCTTTAGTTTTCTCAGTTTGCAAACTCAAATTAAGCCTGCTGCACATTTTAAAGTACATTAAATGTTATTTTCATATCAAGTTTAATGCAGCTTGTATTTATGCTTTGTATTTTCAAAAATTATTTCAATGTTTAAAAATGGAACTTATTCAACAAGAATTTGACTTTAAATCTTGTTTGTGTAAGTTAATATAACCTCATGCAGGGATATAAATCTGTGAGAGTGTAATTAGTATCCCTCTCATGCCACCCGGTGTTTGAATGTGTATGACATTATTAAAGTCCACATAGATTTAGGTAGATGAGCTGTAAATTCTCAGTTTGGCTTATAACTATGTATAGTAGCATTACGGGATGCTATATATTTATTATTAAATATCTATGTAGTGCTAAGAATTAGAAAGTGGCCCTGTGGTAAGGTTTTGGAAATTCCTCTTATTAGATATTACAATATTCACAAAGGAATATTGAGCTAATTTTGTAAGAAAGCTGTGTTTTATGTGTTTAGACTACTTCAACATTTTATAAAAAACACTTTTGGTATACCTAGTTATGCATCATGACCAACTATCATTAGTTCAAATTTTTATTTTGATGTTAAAATAAAACTCAATACAAACTTTAAAGGCTACAATATTTGTTTCTTTTAACCTGTAAAACTATAGTATGTCAAATGTTTTTTTTAAATCCTATCTTTAATTGTGGTTGGACAAAATGAGAAATCTTTTCAACAATATCATATTTTTTATTTGAAAAATGTCATCCCCTTTATAGGCTTTTGGATTCATGTCACGAGTGGCTCTGCAGGCGGAGAAGATGAACCATCACCCAGAGTGGTTTAATGTTTATAATAAGGTATGGATATGTCTCAATAATGGCTCAAATCACACAGTGTAATAGTGTTTAAAACGTATTTGCAGTGCTTCATTCATTTGGTAGGAACTACAGATGAGACAACAGCTTGTAGAATCATATTGTGTCATATCAGCTTTATGTTTTATATACTGCTCTAATATCAGTCCTAGGGTTGGTTTTTAACAGATTATAGATCAATCATCAGTGGATAAAGTCATCCTGTCATTGCTGTTTTTTTTAGGAGCCCTCCATTCGAAGCCTGAAACACACTTCTTTAGTCAGGGTGAGAAGCAAACCCCCAACAGCTTCACGCTATAATCCCATTGATTTGCCTCATGAAAACTGTTGCAAATATCTCACCAGAACTCGCACACGTGCTCTTTAAACACTGCCTGCCTCAAGAGTAAAGGAGTGGTTGATATGACAAAGCCAGTCCGTGAAAATCTCCCAGCATTAGGCTGTAGCCACTGAGTTACTGTGTGGTGGACCAGGCCTCTCTAAGAGGAATGCTTCTCCTAATCCACTCTTTATTAAAGTGGCTGCAGAACAGTGCTGCAGGTCTCCGAGCCCCCACAGCACTTTCCATCAGACGTTCACACACAAATCCCCACACCAGCCGAGGTTCAACCATGACAGAATAGTTGCTGTTGACTGAGCTGCCGCTAATGTCGCCTAAAATTCAGTCCCATTCTAGTCGTTTTTCTTTATCAAAGATATGTTTACATGCTTTCTTCGCTGGGTGCAACCTCACTGGTTGAGTCAGACATTGGTAGGTTGGGCAAAAAACAAAACAACCTCAGACAGAGTTCTTTGCAAATAACAGGACAATATCTGTTTGTGTGCACAGTAGACATAAAGAAAGAGTATTTGATGAAATGTGATTGAGATTGTGGTTTACATGGGAAAGTGGTGTGCTGGCGATGTAATGTGGCATCAACAGCCAGGCAGAGCACACGCGCGTGCTTGTGGGCAGCTTCCTCAAGCCTTGTCATCACAAACATGTCATGCAGTGACCAAAATCAAAACTTGTACTTGATGGTTGGTCAACCACATCACAACGGGAGACCCAGCACTGTACTCCCCAATGAAGTCAAGCTGTCATGAACAACAAAGGAACAAGACAGTTCCGCTAAATGGAAGTGCGACTTAGCCTCTGTCAGCGTGTGGCCTCCACACCAGTTGACCCCTCCCCTATTTTTTAACAATATGTTTATTGGATGTTTTTAATAAAGAATCACAAATTAAAGGACAAGAAAAAAAGAGCACACACACATACTTGGCCAACATCAGCAAATAACCAAAAGGGTTGTAAAAATCTAGCATAAAGTCACTTCCTTTTCAAAAAATCTATCAAAGGTCTCCAAATGTCCGCAAACCCGTCAGCTTTTCCCCTTGTAATGTATGTAAGTCTCTCAAGTGCAACAGAAGATGCCATCTCCACTGTCCAGACTTTCAAAGGAGGAACTTCCACACTCTTCCAGTATAAAGCAATTATTTTCCTGGCCTGCAGGAGACCAAAGTCTATGAGAGTGGATTTACTTTTATTAACAACAAAATCCTTTGGGAATATTCCTAAAATGTACAATATCGCTCAACGTGGGATTTCCATTGCAATTATTGTGGAAATAGTTTGAGCAACAGAGTTCCAAAAGTTTTTTACTTTCCAACAGTCCCATAAGCAGTGAACCAGAGTACCCTTATCACTAGTCAGGGGTCCTTTGATTTATTTTAGCTGGGGTAATGTATGTTCTCTTTAACCATTTATATTGTAACAATCTCATTCTAGTATTATTCTAGTATTTCTTTTTTTGCTTTGAGGCATGCATTTTCCCAATCATCAGTGTCAATATTTTCGTATCTACTTTCTGTGTCGTATAAGACCAGTGTCCTATAAAATAAGGAGATCTGGCTTCTGCCCTGTAAATTTGATCAGATAACAGGTGGTTCACAAATGATATTTTCAAGCCTCGATGACATAAAATTCTTGAACTGCTAATATTTTTTAAAACGCTTACGAGAAATATATATATGTCATAGCATATTTCTCCATTCAAGTATAAATCACCAATTGACTTCAAAACTTTGTCTTCCCACAATTTGAACCCACCATTCGCTCTTCCAGATTTAAAGATCTAATTAAGATTTATTGATTTTTTTCTTCTAGTTCTTTCTGCAGGCTAATTAGAATATTTTGTGTTGCGCTTGTTAGAGCTTTGTCATGCTTAAACGTCTTGAGAAGAGTCTGAAAACTGATCCTATTTTCATCAGAGCTGCAGTGTCACAGAAGGGACTCAAAAGACTTTTTGTTTGGACTAAATGACCCAATCCTGCCTGGGACTAAGATCTGCCAACACTTGTGCATGATGATTATAAGAACCTTATATTGTCAGGTTGCTCTGGTTTCACAGTTTTGTTTAAATTGTGTCCAATGAAATGGACTAAATGGAATAAAGGACTTTAAAGTTAGGCTAGAGGCAATGCAGAGAGCAAAACTAGCAGTAATGACTTTATATCCTAATGTTCCCTACATCTGAATTACTTTATTATTTATTTATTTATTTATTTATTTATTTATTTATTTGACGTGAAGAAAGAATCTGTGGAAAAGGGAAATTGGACGCGCAGGGACTCGCTTATCAAGGAACAGCCACTTTAACAGAGCTTGAATAATACATCTGTTTTGGTTCTAATACTTGGGACTTTGCCTTCTACGAGACTTACAATTCCAAAATATAATGAACAAAAAATTTGTTGTAGAAAGTCTGTGGCTGAAATAAAGCATGTGCATATCACAGATACTCCTCTTACCAGTATGTGTTTTTTTAATACTGGTCCATAAGTCTTTCATTAAATGGTCATACTTTCTAAGCTGTAAATATCTAACTGTGTAACATCCGTGTTGTCTTTTTTACCAGAAATCTTTCATTTCTTAATATTATGATTGAGTGAAGGACTTCCCTTATCATAGTGTTTTTTTCCTGTTGTTTATTTTTTAGTGCATTGTGACTGATGGTGTCTACATGTCTTCACAGGTACAGATTACACTGACTACCCACGACTGTGGAGGACTGTCTAAAAGAGACATCAAAATGGCCAAGTTCATTGACAAAATTGCACTTTCAATGTAAAATGTTCTTTTTAACCTGAAACTTAAACCCGTCTTTTCCATCCATCATGTTAGATTTATCAAACAAATGTCACATGTCCACAATCTGCAACTGTTTGTGTCTTCGAGTCAGCTTACATACTATGACTTTATTTTTTAAAGCTTTCTTTCGACAAGATTTCTATAAGAAAAAAAAAAGTAAATTAATAAAAATGAATAAAACTTTGATTTAATTTCTCTGTTGCCTCTTCACTGATGGTGTGTGACTTCAGTTATTTCTAAAAGACAAGTTTCAATTAATTGTGTTGCTGTATTTCTCCCATTTTTATTTTAACAGGGGGCATTAAAAAATTATTGAAGTACTTCCCAGTGCTCTGTCCAGTACATGCCAGTGATCTGGAGGATACTTTTTTCTGGAGTAAGTCCTGCACCCGGACACATGTTCCCATTTTGGCTCTGTAGAGTGAAGCAAACAATGAAAGAGGTCAAAGTCAGTAGAAGGGGGATTTACCTGATTTACAATTTGTTATGGCCTGAGTCAGATAAAGCTCCTGTGTTTTCCTGACTGGATTGCCATTGGAAAAAGATCAGCGAGTAAAATGAGTGGAAAATGGCAAATGTTACATCAGGAGTAATACTGGGTTACAAACAGCCGTACACTTTTCCTTTGAGTGTAAGTTAATGCATCATGTCCACAATTGTGATAAATTGTCTTTCCTTTTTACATTATTGTATGAGAAGGCGCCTAAAGTCACATTTCTGTTCACTATCTCTGCATTTCTAAATAAAAAAGCCCTTTTCAAGTCACGTTTCAGCATTTCAGTTGGTCGATAGCGAGGGCACTGATCTGCTCTTTCTTCTTCTCATATCCATGTTGTTGATTTTTCGCATTCTTTGGCTCATCCATGCCCTTCTTAGCCTTAGGTTAAGGCCGTGGCATGCTCCTGTAGGACTCTTCTGAGATCATTGTTCCCACCACAATTGCAAAACATCCAGACCCTGAAGCAGCAAAAGAGCTCCAAAACATGATGATTACTTAGACTTAGACTAACTTTATTGTCATTTTGTACACTCAGGGTGAACACAGATTCAAATTTAATTGCATACGTCTCACGACAAGGTAATACATTTACAGTGAAATGGGATTGAAGTACATTATAAAGCGCAGCAGCGATAGGAATGTATCACAGTTCAAGAAGGAACTGTTCAAAAAATGGTCAACAATGTTGACGGTGCAAAGTAATGGTTCAAAATGGCAGAAAACGTTATGTGCATGGGCGAAGTCCAGTTAAGAGTTTAACAGTCTGATGGCAAGGGGTGAAAAGCTGTTGCAGAACCAGGTGGATGTGCGCCAGATGGTGCGGAGCCTCTTCTCCAGGATGAAAACACCTGAAGATTTTAACAGAACCATAACAAGCAACAATAAAGCAGATTTAAAAGAACAGCGATACTAAGCTCCTTCCTGTTTTAATGGTGTGTTTGCAACATGGTCACAAGAAAGGAGGTAATTCCTTTTTTATAAGTAAGGATATGGATATAAAAAGATAGCAAATACATAAAACATTTTAAGAGACAAGTTTAAAAAGTTTACAAGTTTAAAGCTAAGGGCACAATGGAAATACTACCTAGCTTTGGCATAAAGAGGATGCTATTGGCTCCTGCTGAAAAGAATGGTGGGGGGAAATTTTTGGGTGACTTCTCAGAGGTAGGCGAAAAGGTTTCAGCCCAGACATTAAGTAGCACATTGCGAGATGAAGAACCCCATGCCCGAACTCCCAGGTGTACCCCCTGCTGACTCCAGAGCACAAGAAGTATAACAAAAGAACGCATGGGGCCTATTCCAGCTGACAACAGGAGAGAGGAGGGGGGAAGGGTGAGGTGTGTGTGTGTGTCCGTGTGTCCATCGTGGGGCCACACGGAGACAACAACCACACACACATAGTCACTCCTTGGAGCAATTTTCAGTGTCCAAGTAGCTTAACTTGCAGGTTTTTGGACTGTGGGAAGAAGTCGGATTACCTGGAGAGAACCCATGAAGACACAGGGAGAACATGAAAACTCCACAAGGAACTCAAACCGGGAACCTTCTTTCTGCCAGTGCTAACCACCACAACTGATTACAAGCAAGATTAAAAAAATAGGTGTCAACCTTGCTAAAACAATCTGCAATGGGGGTTGAATAACAATCAACACAAGTGTATTTCTGAACAATGGGAGGCTTTTGAAAAACATCTGTTACGGCTGTGCAGATGTTACTACACAGACCTACCATAATGTCCTCAAAAACAAAACAGACTGTGCCATCCTGTACAGAAAGTTCAAATCGGTATAATTTCCTACAGGTTGTTGCGTTAGTTTTCCTCAATGTTCTACAAATAACTGCAAAGTAAAGCCAGATTTAGATGTGTTGCGTTTATAGGTGGCCTTGATTTTTAGCTCTCGAAAATGACCTGTGTGAAAGTAACTTTAACACAAACAGGTCTCGACGTGATATCGCACTCTCACAGTCCCACAAACTATTGTACCGATGACCCCTACACCAGGAATTCATTTGTCTGTTTAGACAAGTTGTGAATGACTGCTGCTTGTTTTGTGTTAAAACTGTACAGCACTGACCCATGCTGACAGCCCTCAAGTGAAACTACGTCTGGAAGCACTACCAGTGATTTCATGTGTTTCTAATATGTCCAACAAAAGCCATATTGCCTCGGTTTGCACTTCCCTGTGTATCTCATCTGTATTGTTTTATGTAATCACAAAAGCTCCTTTTAATCATTTTAAAGAGAGGCAGGAATAATCTAGTATTTCCTGGTTTAGAAGCGTTGTTGTAAAAATCTGAACTGATAGAAAAGATTACCAAACAAAGTTCATGACACCTAAAATTTTTAATTTGATGTTGTTTTATTGCTGCAGGTCTTTTGCTCCTGGTTGGGATCCTATATTATGAGCACTGCACATATGTATGCTTCTGCTTTTCCCCGCTGTCCTAAACAGTGGGGAAATTATGATGTGATGTAAATCATTTTAGACCCAACTGAATCGTGGGAATGATTATACACAGCTGTTTGTCTCTGTGACACTGTGAATTGGTAACCAGTCCAGGGTGTATCCTTACTTTCTGTTTTTCGACGTGTGACAGCATTTGCATCGGCATGTCATCGCCCTCTAAGGTAAAAAAAAAAAAGTAAACCAAGGTGTTCAAAGCGTTGTGTTCTAGCATTAGGTAGTAACAATGCTTTTTTTTTTAAAAACAGTTAAATTGTAACATGTGAAAAGCTGGAATCAGAGAAAGTTTAACAACACTTTGAAAAATACCAAACTTTTTAACTGTTTATATACTACAACACTCACTTTTACAAAGCCCCCTCGGGGGCTACCCCATAGTCCTTAGGGGAGGGAAGAGAAGGACCTTGTAGCCATTCCTATAAGGTCAATCTGGGCCAGGTCAGATGTGGACCTACAGATAATTGGCCTCAGCTGATGGCCAGAAGCAGCAAGAAGCCGAGTCAGCACTCCCATTAGGGAACTCTCTTGTTTCTGGCTTCTTAATCCGCTTTCAGCTTCACCTACTAATTCTGCGCTGCCAGCAGTCCGGCCTGCACACCAGTAAAGAAGAAAAACAATCATGAGAAAGAGAAAAAAAAGGGGGATGGAGCGCGAGAGATTGAACGACAAAATGCGGAAAAGGTAAGGTTTGTTCTTTTCTTGTGCAGACTTTTGAGGAGGGAAAATAATCATTCTCCCCAGTGTAAAGGTCAAGTGGAAAAAGGTAGCAGCTGTTTTCATCAAAACAAGAAAGCAAAGCACACCCAGAAGAGGGCTTACCTGGAACTTTCCGAGTAGCATCCCGTTCTTGATGGTGGCCTGCAATTTTCTCGCGTTCTACCTGAAATCTGGTTCGATAGCAATGTGCTGATGGAGCGGCAAGACCAGTAGTTGCAACGTGATACTTGCAAATAAAGACAACGAGGTCATAGAAAGTCAATCTTGACTTAAGTCTGCCTCTAGGGGGAAGTGGACAAACCAGTGTTTAGCACATGGGTCTGTCAGTGGGAGTAGCTGGAGAAGCACGGCTGACAGTAATCACTCTGCGCACTACGTGCCAAAAAGGCAAGCAGGGGCTTAACATTTGCGGAGACATTTGTTAATGTTTTAATGTATTTATTTATCTTATCAAATGCATGCTGCTTTTACATGTGTAGCAGTAACTGGAAATCTGTAACTGTTCTCATCTGTGTGAGTGGAAACACATTGTTGTCTACTTTGTTGATAAATACGTTCACGCTGTCTTTTGTTTGCTGCCATTCTATCTATCTATCTATCTATCTATCTATCTATCTATCTATCTATCTGTATATATGCCACAGACTTCAGGGACTACAATCTTTCTGGGGAAGATCCATCCATTCAGACAAACACACACACACACACACACACTCACACACACACACACACACACACACATACATATATATATATATATAGATGTTCCAAAGATAAATTGGAAATAACTAATCTGAAAGGGGATAAAAAAAAGTTTTATTACCCAAATTTAAATCAGTACTTGTATTTTTAGGCAGATCTGAATCATATGACTGTGTAATGCAATAACTGACCATTGTGAACTGAGTTAATCTCAGTGCACCTGCAGCAGTATCTAAAACTTCTACTACTACTACTACTACTACTCGTTATCAACAAATGTTGCTTTTTCATGTGTGAAACAGATTCCGGCAGAATCACAAACTGCTGTTTCTTCTGTTCTGGAAAGACAGAACATACCTATGTCTGAAACAGCAAGGGGTTTTGATTTATGAGTGTACGTGTGCTAAAGTATCCCCTGTTGTACTACACATACTCTTTACTATTGAAATAATGTACTTTGATAATTAACTTTGATAAATAGTTTTAATAGTAATAGGTGGACTGTAATACCTTTGGCATTAAGGCCCCCAGTTATAGTAAAGGAACAATCTTACATTCCATGTTCATATCGGAATGCAAATTGGTTCTAAAAGTTTTTTTCAGCTTGTTGCAACATGATTTCTTAGTACAGTGTTTCACTTCAATAATACCAAAACACTATTTGTGCAAAGTGTTCAAAATCCACTGTATGTATGTAAATATTAATCTTTTCTAGACATGTGTATATTGTATTTTTGTGAAATGAGTGTATGCTAACATGTCATTTCCATTCAACGAAGATGTATCTGTCCTTACTGTAACTGATATTCAAAGTTGGTGCTCTAACACGTCTTAAATCTTTGAAGCAGAATCTTACCTCAACAATACTGTTGAGCATATTCAAAGCCATTAAAATGTATCAGTATCTTGTGTTTTTCTTTTAGGACGTTCCTGCTTTTTCTTGGCCATCCACAACAGGTCGATGCTTCAGAAAGAGTCTCAGGGAGCTCTATTCTCTCTTTTTTTTCTTTCCATATCCTCTGAGGTAATTCTGCAAACACCGCTGTGAGCGCTGACGACTTATTAAAGGCAAAATGTCAAATATTGTAGGTGCAGCCCATTCCTTTTCTCTCATTGTCTTCACATTCTTTGCTCAGCAAACCACAGACTTCTTCTACTCAAGTCTCAGCAGCTCGACTCAGCAGTCACTAATCCCAAAATGACTGTCATGTGTCAGCTTTGTCAGAATGACTGCGGCATGGAGACTGTCTTGGTGGTAATCACATCATTTTACTCAAGGTATATATAATTATAGTAATTCATGCAGTTGTTCTTGGGCTTGGAACAGCATGCACTCATTCAAAAAAAACTCTTTTGACTTAGTGATCCGTTATTGTGCGGCTCAGTCATCAGCTCCATAAATAAGAGTGTAA